ATTTTATTCGTCCAGAATATTATGCGAGTAAGATTTTTATTTTACAATTTCATTTAGTTGTACATTGATACGTAAACTAGGTCACTAGGTTACTGCGCGTCGCTCAATATTCTATCACGATTACCTAGTTTCTTAACTGTCGTCATTGGTCCCCACCTTCCTATAATCTCATATTCATATAAGAGGATAGTTAATCAGCAATCTATATATAAAAATGAAACCCGTTTCCCGTTGTCACGCCATAACTTGAGAACGGCTAGACCGATTTGGCTGTTTTTTTTTGTTGTGTTTGTTATCGTTAGGAGAAGGTTCTTATGACAGAAAAAAGTCTTGATAATCCTACGGGAATGGGAGAAACGAGATTGCGCGTACAGAGTCGCGGGCAGAAGCTAGTGCTGAATAATATTTCATAATATAGTACTGAATAAACGCATCAATTTTTCCGTTGTGCTGAGGTGCATAATTATATCTATACATATACAGGATGTAAACGGACCGCTCGTTTTTGTTTTCGTGCATGCAACATCAGCTTTTGAGCAGTTGATTACAACTAGGTATTATTACATAAAAGAAACATTTAATTTCTTACTTCTATGAAAACAAAACGTATCTTTTACCAACACCTGTCGGCGTTGTATGTATACAAACCTACCTACTTTGGACGTAAACTATCCACAGCAGGGCAATAGGAATTTATTTTGCGCTGTGATGCTGTTTCACTACGCATAAAAATCTAAGGAAAAATACTTAACTTCGACAATAAAAAGGATGCGCTGCCGATAAGCGTAAAGATACAAGAAGAGTGATATACGATTTCTTAAAAAAAAAATGTTGTTGTTTAGCAGATCCGTAAGTCTAACAGACACCATATCTTTGACCACGATGTCCATCTTGCCTCAATATACGTTTTAAAATAAATAAATCTGACATTTAATCTAAGTTCAAACCTAAATCTAGCCGTAACTTTCCAAATACAAAACGGGAAATATCAAATCAATTGTGTCCGCACGGCCAACCACTTCAGGGACAGCTGGATCGATATTACTGAATTTATTATGCCATTCTATATTATTTTAGTGACGGTCAGTTCTGATTTTGAAGGCTATTGTTCATTTTTCAGGTTGTTTGGATATAATACATTTCGGTGAGACTCTTGATTCAATCACTTGATTCCCCCTAGTCTTAATCCATCAACGTACCACAAGACATTCGGCGAAGCGTCACCGATTCATGGTAGATGTTCCACCCACACGCACGAAGCGCTTCGCTTCAAGCTTCCTTGTGCGTACTGCTAAAGAGTGGAATTCTTCGCCCAGAGACTGTATTTCCTGAAGGGAACCTGGAAGTCTTCAAGGCCCGAGTGAATAGGTTGCTTATGGGACGACATGCTCCGTCGTAGACCGCATCATCACTTACTACCAGAGGAGATAGTGGTCAAACGTCGCCCCATCAAATATAAAATAATAATATAGTCGTGTCGGCCAATGGGTTAATCCCTAATAGCCTCGACAACCACCTTAGGAGGCTAGCGTTAGGCAGTTGGGTCAAAGGCCTGATACAGAAGGCAGTTCTCCTTGAAACGGCGCGCATTGTGAGGAGGCTTCTGTCTCTGGAGCCCTAACCACCGGTAGCTTGGACCATTCTCCCACTATTGATCGGCTCCTATTTTTATATTTTTAAATATTATTTTTTTCTGTAGTATTTAAAAATATAGCTTTAGAGAAATTTTAAATAAATATATAGAAATAATAATAGATTTTGTTATAAACAGGTAAAATGGTTTCAAAAGGAACAACGATCGAAGACTTGTGTATTGTAGTTACTGCGATAGTGATAAAGAACTTTTAGGTCGCCTCGCCGCTATAGAGGATTTAGCCCTTAATACATGGCACTCCGGGAGTCCCTTTTGGAAATGACACCACAAGTGCTGCTAATAATTTCTTTACTTTACACTTTACAATTTTCGACTTACAATAATTACTGTGTGATATAGAACCGTGTTGGTAGTTGAATAACTTTTTATGAAATGACACCCGGAGCGCCATCCAAACAAATTTGGTGTCAGAAGTGGGATTTTTTAACCAATAGCATTTAAGTTAAGTAGAAAGAGAGTTCGGGCTTAGTCGGCCTCTTTTTTTTATGGAACAAGCCCGCAACAACCTCCCAAAACTGCTGCAACTCCTGTAAGCCAGGATCTACAGTAGATTCAACCATGAAAACACCGGAACATTGAAGTCCGGCGCGTCCCAGGGACATGAGTAACTGTCTTGGTTCCCGCAACGAAGTGAATCAGAAGATATTATAAGAGGAGAAGAAGAAAAAACTATAGTTTCCACTTCCCTCGGTGAATGACGGCCTCTTACGTATACACACGAATAATGGGACCAGCCCAAAAGTAATTCCGGGGAGTGGGCCTTTTAGAAAGCAACAGGTGGTTTGACACCTTCCCCCAACCCTCGATACAACATCTTAATCCAAACAATGTATTTATTTATTCTACTCTGCCGTCAGTGGCGTTATCACATGACGAAGACATGCTTGAAGTGATAAAATATATCTTTAATATTTTTGACCTTTTAGGCCTCCTTACTATCACTTTTTTATGGCATAAGCCGGCAAACTAGCCGTCGCCCATGGACACCTGGAACACCAGAGGAGTTACAAGTGTGTTACCGGCCTTTTGGGGATTAGGAGTTTGAAGATCGTTTGGGATTCAGGGATTGGGGAGATTGGAGAAGGGGAGGGTAATTGGGCCTCCGGTAACCTCACTCACACGACGAAAGACAACGCAAGCGTTGCTTCACGTCGGTTTTCTGTGAGGCCGTGGTATTAGTTACAGACTTCTTAACGGTAAGCTAAGATCTGTTAGGTTGGCAAGTAACAAAATATTTTGTAAGGTTGGTAATATGACTTTTTATGTATGTTGTCACCTTGTGTTGTAAAAATATTAAAAATAATAAAGGTAGTTGTTCTGAGAAAAGTCGTGTGTTAATAGGTTATGGGCAATCTCTTATTAAAAAATTCTAGTATTTACTAGTAATACAGTTTAAGTTTTTGTGCGACAATGGCTGTGAATTACTTGCAAAGTATTCCGAAGTTAAAAGGCAGAGAAAACTATGACGAATGGAGTTTTGCGGCAGAAAATCTGTTGGTGCTAGAAGGCATGTCGTATCATATTAAGCCAGCGACCGGCAGAGAAGTAAAGCCAGATGAAGACGCCAAAACGAAAGCGAAGTTAATTCTAACGATAGATCCTTCTTTGTATGTGCATATTCGAGAAACAACTAGCAGTCGACAGTTATGGATTAAGCTTAAGAGAGAAGAAGAATCAAGATTGTGTTATCGGCCGTTTTTGTGAATAGTCTCAAAAATATTTTATTTATTAACCGACTTCAATAAAATGTTCTCAATTCGATTGTATTTATGAACCTATTTTGATAAGTCTTTTTTTGTTGGAAAGAAGACTACTTCTAACCTATCAGTGGGCGTGTAAGCTATAAGTACGTATGACCAATATTAGTTATTTTTTCCTTTTTAGTTTTTACTTTTAATTTGCCTTTAGTTTTTGAAGTCGGTTTTTTTAAACGCAGTTTTTTATTTTTTTATTTAGAAAACCAACAGCGTTACATAGTTATAGTTTACAATAGTTTGCGTGAATTAAAGAGATTAAGGCTAATAATAGATTTCCCTTATTTCCTAGATTTTGCAAACATGCGAACAGACTTAATTCAATTAACAAAATACGATCAAGAACAAACAATGACTCGAATCAGTTACAAAGAGTTTCGGAATAATGATTCAAGATACGGAGTCGGTGTCCAGGTTGCTTTTATTAATACATTTAATGATGTGTTCATTAAATTTAGGTTTACCACAACTGAATAGATCTATTTCGGCAAAGTTATTGTTGTGCGTTCGGGCAATGCGAGTCAGTACACATTTTTTTGCGTTTTAGGTCGAGCGCCGAGGTACATGTATCATCGGCGTATGGCGAATTTTGTTGCGCTGTTTCCCGCAAATGTTTGCCAACCCTGTAATAGGGATTGCGGGCCGCGTACCGTGAATGTTTTTATGTTACGTTTTTTACGCTGCAAGCTGAAATATTGAAAGGAAGGGGGAATTCCCAAAAAAGCCTAGAGTCGATTAAAATCATTTTTAACGTAACTATTCGCTTTGGCCAAAACCATAAGACCTTCTGTACAAGCCAGTAGATTGCAGAATATTACAATTTTGTTTAGCAGGTCGTGTGAGTAGGTAACTTATTTTCTTGTTGCTGTGTTTGTGAGTAATGAAAGAGGTAAAAACGATAGACAAGAAATTACATTTACGAGATTCACAAGCAACCCCCCAAACCCCTCCAGAACTATAAGGTTTTTTAACATTATTACAAACCAAGATATGATTTTGTTCAATATACATGTATAAACTGACTGTTGAAACTGCGGAAAACAAATTGAATTTGGTACTAAATAGTACCCCAAATTCATACTCATATTCTACCTTGCCACACAATTCTGGATATTTGCTCCACACATTTTTGGGCACTCTCCTTTGAATGTTTCAAACCTTGGTTTCAATATCATTACAGGTAGTTTTTAATAAGATTTCGTGGCACAATCTTGTCGAAGACTGGTTTTGTATTGAGCCCAGTTAATGTTAGTCTTGTTACAAAATAGTTAGTTTCAAAGTATTACGCACAACGGTCTGAAGGGATACAAAGAATGCTTAAGCACTAGATATTAAAATCGATGTTTAAAAGGTATCAAATGCATTATGTTTGTGCTCAATGATCAATGAAAACTACGTAGTTTGTATTAAAACCTCAATGCTTAAATTATTTTGCATACTGGCTGTATGACAGCTTCAAACTTGGCGCACTGTGTCTATCAGAAAACTGAAATTACTTAAATCTGACAGTAAAAAGAATCCATGCAAAAAATTTTACTCGTTCGATGTCACTTTGCATAAATGAAAAATTATAAGTGTTATTATAAAACAAGATGGAAACATTAACTCGGATCTCCTCAACTTTCGAAAACGTTAGATCGAATATAAAGTGTAAGAACTCATCTGAGCGTCTCCAAAATTTGAAGAAAGATATCCAAACCCTTACCAATGAATTGGTGGTCCTAGGTAAGGAGAATCATGACCAATATATAAGGTCTTTGGCCATGGAAGGCTACCTTGCCCTCCTCTCTGCTAAAACGATGCCTTTATCCCTTATCGAGAAAAAAAACATGCTCCAAACGTCCTTTGAAAAATTGAAACAGTTCGCACTCAGAGAAGAATGTCTGTTCATAATGTTGAGAATACAGAATCTTCTATGCTATTATATGATACAGTTAGACCAGGTGGCCAATGCTCGCGAAATCCTTGAGAGTATGGAGGATCTCTACGACCAGATCAGTAAAGCTCAGCCAGATAAGTTTCTTGATGCTGAAGACCTATTTACAGTTGAGTTAGTAAGTAACATCAAACGTGTGAATCCGGAGAAAATAGACAAAGTCATCACTAATAACGTCCAAATGCAAGCATTTCTGTACAATAAAATGAACCTGCCGCAGAAATACACCCTGTATAACCACACGGCTCTTCGTAGGCAATTAGAAATGAAGGAAGGCACTCCACAAGACTGGGCCTTGCGGACGGCGCGGCTGGGAAATTATTTCACCTATCTGAACCAAATTGGCAATGCCCGCCATCATCTCTGCGCTGCTTACCACGTATTGAGGACATGTCACGATAACTGTAAACTTATGCCTGAAGAATTCGTGTTGCAGAAAGCAGATTTTGAAATTCACTTCTTGGAATTGAGCCATCACTGGGTCAAATACGGACTGACACTCTTCAAAATGTCCAAAAAGAAAATTTTAAACAAATATTTTACTCAACCTTCAACGGGAGCAGATCTCTGGAAAACGGTGGACTTGCTAGAAGATGGGCTGGACAACTCAGAGAAGCTCGATGAGGAAAATGTTAAAGATCTGGGTGCTGAAAAGTCTGGAAAGGGTGATTGCACTCCTGAGAAACTGTTCACCTTCCCGTCTCTGGATTTGAAAGAGATAGAAGGTAAAGTTCCACTAGAAAGCGTTTGCAGCGTTGAAGATGCGAGAAAGTTATTTGCCTTCACTTATAAGTGGTTGATGAGAGCTAAGCATTACTACGACTTTGAGCATCATTCAGCTCAGTACATATCCTGCTCCTTGCAACTGGCAGAACTGTACGAGCACTTGGCTTTCTTCGAACGTAATATTGACAACCAGTACAGTATTCAGAAGAGACGTGCAAATGTTCTGGAGACGCTTAATTCTTTGTTGAAAACTTGTGACAACGTTATGTCGGTCCAGATTGACGTGATCAGGGAGCTGTCCCAGGTGCAGCTGGAGCTGATGGCGCTCAACTTGCAGAAGTTGTGGCGCGAAGAGTCTCATACCAATATATTTAATATGGACACTGATGCGGATTCTATTATTAACTCTCTGGATTCTGAATCCAACAAGACTCTGACGGAGAAAACTTTGAACACGTCTAGTAAGAACATGTTTTTAAGGAAAATGGAAGCTGCCACTTCGATCAACGGGAAGCTGTTCCGACTGAGCGGGCAGCTGGTGGCACGCACTCCGTCGCAGCTCAGCTTCAGTACAGGAATACTAAAAAACTAATTGAATGTGGCGTGTGACATCTAACCGGTGTGAACAACATTAAACATATTTAAGAAAAAGGAGTGTTTGCCTGGAAATCGAATATTAGACTAGTATAAAATTTACTTTGAAATTATTTATAATGATTAATAATCAGTAATATTTATAATAAAATGAACAATAAAACACAATTTGCTTTGTACATTGTTGATTATTTAGATTAGTATTATTTAGTTTCACTGACTGAAGGGGACACTAGATATCACACTAGATATAGTATAGGTACCTAAGGTATTAACTCAAATACAATATGAAATGTATGTCACATACATACCTAGTAATCCTGAAAGAGAGAGTATACTCTTTACCTGTTATAACTGCACAAGATCTTTACAAAATGCCAGTTGTTGCAAAAGTATCTAAATATAACATACCTAATATATATGTATATGTTGAATACTGCACGAGGTAAAAATACAAATGAGTTAATTCTCTAAAGGTGCTGCTTCACCGGGAGCATTCGCGTGTAATGTAACGTTACAGGTCTGAGCATTACATCAGTGAAGGAGGAGAACCGAGCATTACAATGCGCACCTTGTACAATATCTTGATACAACTTGTAACATCAATGCGCTCCACTTCATAATTATTTATTAAGACTAGTTTTCAAAATTCCGTGAGCTAGAAGTAGTATCAGACTCTAAATGACAAAACCCACTCCGTTCCTACTTCAGCTTGGAGCTGGAGCCCCGGCTATGGTAGAACATACACTAGCCCTATACAACCCGAGGCAGTGTATCAGGATATTGCCTTGTAAAGTTTGTTTTTCAGTCACTGCTATATTTCGACAGTGTACGCAATGACCTGCCTCAGGATTCACACAAAATGAAAAATAACAATCAATTAGAGCGTAACTAACGTTCACAAAGTACCGGTACGACGACAATACGCCATAATACGCCACATAGCCGCGGGGTATCAATACGAAATCGGTCGCTAGGGTTCCATAGTCAAAATGAAATAACGAACCATGCTTAGCTCATGTGGGTTAATTTTATTTATTTTGTGAAGATAAATAAACAATCATACATTAAATATTATAATAACATACAGTAATGTTATACCTAGTGATAAAACTTAGGTACTTACTAAATTAACTGCTTAAGGTAAGGTATAGTATCAAGACACGCCGGGACCTATATTCATGAGCAGAGTGCGCGGCATACAAAGATAAGCAGTAAAACAATACTTAGATAAAACGAATCAAAGTTTAGGTTTAAAACGTCATTTCTACGTCTAAAATGTACATAGAATTGACGTCACGCGACATTCCAAATCAATGTATCGTCGAAAGTATTCATTTCTGTAAGAAAATAAAAAATACGTGTCTAATGATTTAAAATAATCTACCAGGCGGACATTGAAATAAAAATTAGGCATCTACCCTATTGAATACATTACAATTTATACTGAACCCTCGAGCAGCTCTCACACTTGGCCCTCACCCGCAGCTGTGTACTAATACATTATTCACGTACCTCGCACGCCGGTTCAACATGCCGAACATGCGATATTAACTTCCGGCCGCCGGCCACCAGCCTCACTTTGTTGATTTTTCTTTTCCATGTTTTAAGCTTTTTCCCATATTGTATATGTACCTGTAAATCTTTATTGTTAAAAATAATGTTACTTACCTGTGTCATACTAATAAAATTATTAAGTTTATTTATTATTTGCTACATGAAACTTCTTGCTAAGTAGGTACTGCGTTTATAATCTTACGAACGTCCTCGCACATAGCCGCTTTGGGTTTTTAGGCGATAGGGGCTAACGAACAATCGTGCGCTTGAACCGTAACCATAAACGATCAACGCCGCCCATTGACCAACGCCAGGGAGTTGCCAAGCGAGCAAATGGACAAATTTCCGTGCGTTTAGGCGTTTTTGCCATACCTATTATATACCAAGTATAACAGCTCACACATAGGACCCACTTAGTTTTTTAGTCAAATTTCCGTGGTGCTTGGCGACTGGGCTTCACCCAGTTGTATAGTCTCTTCTTTGTGCCTTTAGGCTTAATTCATTCTGTCTCCTGCAGTAATTCACCGAGGGAAGTGGAAACTATAGTTTTTTCTTCTCCTCTTATAATATCTTCTGATTCATTTCGTTGCGGGAACCAAGACAGTTACTCATGTCCCTGGGACGCGCCGAACTTCAGTGTTCCGGTGTTTTCATGGTTGTATCCAGTTGTATCTACTGTAGATCCTGGCTTACAGGAGTTGCAGCGGTTTTGGGAGGCTGTGGCGGGATGTCCCATTAAAAAAAAAGCGAGCAAAGGGAGTACTCTTTTCTAAAAGGTTTAAATTGAAGGTAGGTAATTTATAGAGTCCGGCCACATGCCACACACGCAGGCGAAACTATTGCGTGTATTTAGCCATCAGCATTGAGCTAATTGCTCTCAAAATCAGTCGTGGTCGTAGCTCAAAAGTGCCACAGGGCAAATGTCCGACAACGGGCCACAGACTTGACATGTAACATGCAACTGATTAAACTGACAAATGCAGGTATCAAAGTTTACAATTGAAATGTTTACATAGGTTCGTGGTTGTACCGATTCCCGAGCCGGGCAAAATATTACTGGGCTTTTAAAAATTCTCAGTAGAAGCACGGAGTCTGGAATTGTGTCCGGTATATGGCAATAGGCTCACCCCCTATTACATGGGACTCGTAACATAAATAGTGAAAAGTGGGTGTTACATTGTACAGTGGCATAATGTGCACCTCTGCCTACCCCTTCGGGGATAAAAGGCGTGATGTTATGTTGTTATATGTTGTTTGTACCTAATATCTATCTAAGCGTAGTGGTTAAATGCCAAAGCCATTGTGCCTTGCCGTTGATGTGATGTGACGTGGTACCTAGGTACCTATGTCAGGTCACGTTGATATATTGAGAAGAGTGTGCTCCTACTATTAATAGTAATGACCTAATGATAAAACTCGAGAGCCTCCTTTTTTGGATGTCCACTTAAACAGTTTTCCGCCATTGACTTTGACGTAGTGTTTTTATTTGAAAGAAAAGAAAGAAAAAAGAAAGAAAGAAAAACCATTTATTTCTGCGCAGAACATACAAAACATAATTAAAAAATAAATTAAAATAAAAGCTAAAAAATTTAAAATGAAGTCTTGTCTATGGTCCACAGACTTATTATTTGGGATTTTTTTATTAGAAATGTCAGTACCTATTAAGATTTTCAAAGCCTACCACTATATACTGCATACACCGTAACACCGGGAATTCTCTTTAGTTTTCGCCCCGAAGCAAAATGGTTTTGTCTTGGTAGCTAATACAATAGTTTTACAAATAAATAAAATGTTTAAAACGAAAAATAGCAATTACTGGCCATTACAAGCTACTATAAGCTACTAGTTACTATAACCATTGCAAAAAGCTAACTTTGAAATCGCATACTAACTTATAGTACCTATATTATCAAAATATCATGCCGCCGTGTAATTCTCGCAAAGGCATCTCGTCGGGTGGCACGCGCGATGCGAATAGTGCCTGCAAATTTGGTTCACCCTTTACTTTCACAAACAACGTTTTGTCGAAAATCATTCCACGTCTAGTGTTTCATGAAAAATTTTGTTAAACTTAAAATATGACATCTTTATGTTTTTGTTTTTACTTTATACATTGAAAGTATTCCTTTTGGACATTTTGTTTTGTCGCGGGACGAAAACGAAATAGATTTGATGGTGTATACACATCGTACATAAGTAAGTGAGTGCATTAAATAAGTAGGTATAAGTTCTTTGAGCATTACCATATGGAAATTTGTAGTTGAACGTACAATCGGCAAAGTTAGTATTAGACTTTTTAAACAAAATTCCTTGGTAAACTCGCTATCCACCGGGCGGTTTCCCTTTGGTCGCTCAGCCGAGTGCAAACGAATATTGCCTAATGATGATCGTCCGCCAACTTTGTCGATTGTACTCAAACATATTCAAGGTTATACAACTGAAAGAAACCTTCGAGGAACGATATGGTACATGATATTATATTTACGAAGGACACAGTAACCTAGACCTAGCCAAATAAATCGATAGTCAATACACGTGATGTAAATAAAATACATGGTCAACTCAATTGGAAACAGAATTTATTCATATCGAATAAAAACTAGATCCAATGTCGTATCATCCCTTGTGGCATTCTGTATTGGATTTTATTTATAAAAAAATATGTAAACTACCTAGTTTTTAGACGCGGGTTCGCTGACAAAAAAAAAAGTAAAACTAAAACTATGAGCTGCGAACACGAACGCTGTGTCACCATAACGCCATCTATCACTCGACACTGTAAATAAATGCAGTACGGTACTGACTGAGTTGTAAATACGTTTTCCAACAGCTGTTCTATTGCAGAACTTTTTCGCTTTGAAATAAAGTCGAAAATGTAATAACTATTTTGAATAAGTTGCTCACAAGCTAGTGTTGGTAACTTGGTATTCTACAACTTTGCACTTGTAGTTGATTAAATAATAGTTAAAGACGTGGATAATACTCAGGAAAATCTAATACCTATAACTAACAAATGCATGTAAATACACATTATAATAAGTTTAAGGCAAAATGTTAATGTTTAGAATGAAATAATATTTTATGTGATAATATTATAAGTAAACTAGCTGTTGCCCGCGACTTCGTCCGCGTAGATTAATGACTTCTGACAGAATCAATTCAGTGCCCAAGTAAGATTTACCTATTTTGAAATGATTTATCGTAGTTTCAATAAATAAATAATCCTGCAGGGATCTTACCAGTACAGTGCCCGATCACGTAAGGTTTGAGTAATAAAAACTATTCTATCGACTATTGTTGTACCGAATCTCTCTAAAATAAGTTCAGTGGTTAAGAGTTAGACAGTCCCGGGGCATTGACGCATAGTTCCCGTTCCCGCGGGACATCTGTGATAAAAACTATCAAACGTTACCCAGGTCCCAAATCATCGTTTTACCGAATGTAATTCAAAAAGATTCAATGATTCTAAATTCAATGGCTAAGAATATTTATACAAACTCTCATTCCCTATTTTATCCCCTTAGGGGTGGAATTTATCAAAATCCTTTCTAAGGAGATACCTATGTCATAGTAAATTTATGCATGCAAAGTCTCAGCCCGATCAATTTAAAACTGGCAAAGTATCATACTTTGGGGTGAGAATGTTCAAAAACCTTTCTAAAGGGACGTTTACCTCATAATATCCATCTGCACGCCGAATTTCAACCCAATCGGTGTAAAACTGACAAAGCTTCATACAAACGTTCATCCCCTTCATTACCCCATTGGAGGTGGAAATAATCAAAATCCTTACTTGGGGATGCCTACGTCATAACATCTACCTGCATGCCGAATTTTATCTGCATCGGTGTAAAACTGACAAAGCTTCATATAAACTTTCACCCCCTATTTTACCCCCTTAGGGGTGGAAATGATCAAAATCCTTTCTTAGCGGATGCTTATATGATAACATGCATGTCAAATTTCAATCCGATCGATTTAAAACTGACAAAGTCCCATACAAACTTTCATCCCCTATTTTACCCCCTTGGGGGTGGAAATTATCAAAATCCTTTCACAGCGGATTACTACGTCATAACATCTATCTGCATGCCAAATTTCAACCCGATCGGTTTAAAACTGACAAAGACTCATACAAACTTTCATCCCCTATTTTACCCCCTTGGGGGTGGAAATTATCAAAATCCTTTCACAGCGGATGCCTACGTCATAACATCTATCTGCATGCCAAATTTCAACCCAATCGGTTTAAAACTGACAAAGTCTCATACAAACTTTCATCCCCTATTTTACCCCCTTGGGGGTGGAAATTATCAAAATCCTTTCACAGCGGATGCTTACGTCATAACATCTATCTGCATGCCAAATTTAAACCCGATCGGTTTAAAACTGACAAAGTTTCATACAAACTTTCATCCCCTTTTTTACCCCCTTGGGGGTGGAAATTATCAAAATCCTTTCACAGCGGATGCTTACGTCATAACATCTATCTGCATGCCAAATTTAAACCCGATCGGTTTAAAACTGACAAAGTTTCATACAAACTTTCATCCCCTTTTTTACCCCCTTGGGGGTGGAAATTATCAAAATCCTTTCTTAGCGGATGCCTACGTCATAACATCTATCTGTATTCCAAATTTTAGCCCAATCTATCCAGCGGTTTGGGCTGTGCGTTGATAGATCACTATGTCAGTCAGTCAGTCAGTCAATCACCTTTGAATTATATATATATAGATTAATTAGATTTTATTTTGTGCTGTATATATGTTGCGGTGCCCTAACCGGGTTTCATATGGAAACCCAACTATGTAACACCACATGATTAACCTAATTCTAATATATAAAAATAAGTCGGGTTTTCCTTCCTGACGCTATAACTCCAGAACGCACGAACCGTTAGTTGGAAAGGTCTCGGGCTCCGTGCGGTTTATAGCAAAGAAAATTCACTTTTAATCACCAAACGAAATGTTACATAAAACGAAGACATCTGGTGGCGAAACGGAGTTCGCTGGGTTTGCTAGTGCAATATAAATTTGAATTTGAATTACAATATCGAGGTAAAATATTATTAAGTTGTGTAATCCTACTAGTAATATTGAGGCTACTGGCAGTAGCAGCGCGACAGTCGCCGCGTCGCGGGTCGCGAAATGCTGCTCATGAATACGAGCCTCTAGCATGGCTTGAAACTAGTCGAGTTCCTCATCAAATTACTACGTGAGTAAGCCAAAAACATAATTATTTATTTATTATGTCTCACGAAAGTTACAATACAAATATTGAGGCTCATACATGACCACCTAATTACGGATCATCAAAACTGGCAATCCTTACTAATATTATAAATCGGAAAGTGAGTTTGTTTGTTTGTTTGTTTGTTCCGCTTTCACGCCGTAACTACTAAACCGACTGCTTTGAATTTTTGCAGACGTAAAGTTAGAAGTCCGGATTAAATAATAGAGTACTTTTTATCCCGGAGTAATTTGATATTTCCGTGGGAAAACAAAAGTATTGGTATAGATGACGCTGTGTGTATTAGTGTATGTCACATAAGCTACTTTTTATCCTATTGTGACGCGAGCGAAGCCGCGGGTAAAAGCTAGTAAGTAATAAGTACATACATACATACGATCTGATATTCACATGAATAAATATATGCCTATTAATATCGTCTAGCCCTCGCACAACATTGTGTTCGAACGTTATTCAGGCTCCCTAGACAGAGTGACAACGTGACGCGTGTCACGACTTTGTTTCAGAATTGGATTGACACTGAATTTGCAACGAGGTTGCTTTGTTCACAGTGTCAATATTACTAGTTTATTTTTAACGTTATTCTGTTTCTGATATTGAACCATGATTCCCAATGGAGTCAGTACAGGTTAAAACAGAAGACTTCTTTATTTTTATACTGATGTTGGTAACCGCTTAGCTTTCAGCCCGCCCTTTTTTTATGGGATAAGCCGGTAAACGAGCAGACGGATACCTGGAACACCAGAGACGTTACAAGTGCGTTACCGGCCTTCTGGTTTAGGAATTTGCTGATTGTTGGGGATTCAGGGATTGGGGAAAGGATTGGGTGTAATTGGGCCTCCAGTAACGTCACTCACACGACGAAACACACCACAACGTTGTTTCACGTCGGTCTTCTGTGAGGCCGTGGTATCACTCCGGTCGAGCCGGCCCATTCATGCCGAAGCATGGCTCTTCCACACTTATGGCGCTACGCCTGGTGATAAATAGGCATTTTAACCCGTTGAAAAATCGAACCCGAGACCCTGCTTAGCAGTCTCACTTCTGACAACTCGACGAGACAACGTAGATTGGGTGTTAACCCTATCTACTTTTATCACCGACTGTGGCCGATGTCCGAAACAGGAAATGGATATTTAAAACGATAATAAACAAATAATCATTTGAAATTAAATTTATTAACAAAATAAATCATTTAACATTTTTTTATTTATTTTTATTTATTTATTTATTTTTCCATAACATAATAACATACACTCATGTAACGCTCGTACATTATGAATATTACCGCAAAGGAGAAATACGGTCGCATACAAGCACTGATGGAGCATACATAATCACGAACGTACGTCATTTAATAATATACGAATGGCAAAACTAAATTCCAATGCACCGTCCGGGCGTCCGTCCTTTACATAAAGTTTCAATAACCATCAATACAAAGACTACGATCCAGAACGTCATATATCTCCTTACAAATACCCCCAGTAACTATGATGAATATAATATTAGCTTTAGCTTAGATACGTGCACTAATTAAGATTAAATACTAAGTAGAAAATCAGTATAAGTTAGTTCTATGCTTTTCATTTTCGAGTCGCCTTTGAAATAAGTCCACCTGTACCTTGTGAGTCTTGTGCCACAGATTATAAATCTAATGTAAGGACACATCGCATCGCTAAACAGCAACTTAGATTTCCAGTATAAACTGGCTGGTGAGTAAGCAGAAATATCATACAAACCGAGACCAGGATAAGCTGGTTTTTAGCTCGACGTAAAGCCGTGTATACAAAATGGATGAGCCATTCATATGCATATAGATAATTATTTATTTTAAAAATGTATATGTATAGGTAGGTATACAACATTACGTAACAAAAGTCAAAAAAGTCAAAATCATTTATTTCAATTAGACCAGAAAGGCACATTTGAAAGTCAACAAAAAAAAATTATGATGATGATTATATTAAGCTATTTGCTCATTCCAAGGTGTAAATTCCTATGGAGAAGAACGAGCAAGAAACTCCATAGGTTACATAGAATATTATCAAGTAAATACAAGAAAATAAAATTAAATAAAAACAACTAAATAAAAAAAAGTACTCGTATAATTTCTCCGAGGAGGTCGGAAAATTTTCTGTAAATAATAAGTACTGTAAATAACTTTTGTAGAATTTTCATCGATTCTTTCAAGAATCTATCATTTCCTTTCGGTAACTACATTTTCAAAGTTTCAATGATGTTATGTCAAGTTGTCAAGTACCTATTTACCTAGTACCTACCCACTGCATTATTAATATCTCTCCTATTTCCTCGATCCTCAAAGCTTTGCGTTTACCAGAATTCCGCGAATATTGCTCGGATGATATTAATTTACCATCTCCAAAGTAAAACATGTGGTATGTAAAATTAATATCAGTAACAGCTCAAAGAGAAATCCCTGCCGTTTGCAATATGTCATTTAAAATAAAAGTAAATGTCCCGCACCCGTGATGTGAAATTCCCGTTTGAGTTAAAATTCATCCTTATTTCTATTCACCAGTATAAACTGAGCTAAGGTCATGAATAGTTCCCGTCTAGTGTGCAATCAAGATATATTGGACGCTGGGGCAATGCTGTATCGTATGTAATGCGCCTGCCACACACTCGACGAGTGGTATGGGAAGTAACGAAGAAAGAAGGCAAAGATATAGTGTGGCAACGTTACTCATCATGCCACACGTCATTTTCCTTATCCTGCCCATGCTCCCTAATTTGTCGGTTTCTGTGCGCTAGTCAAAGGACCGGTAATACGAAGAGGCAACGAGGACCGGCAATGAGAGCGTTGCGATTAATTGCCCGAGTGAAGCAGTATGTGGGCAGAAAGGGCAACGTCGTGGCAAATCAGGGTAGCGCGAGGAGCAGCGTAAGGACCATAATCTGGCGCATCAGGTTATATACGTGTACGATAAAGATAGAAAACCTATTTTGAATGAATGTGTCTGATTGAAATTACAACTGGTTATGGATGGAACTCACTGCTGAAGTTTCTACACGAGATGAAAGCAATATGGTCTTCAAAAATGGCATAATTAGCTAGTTATGCTTTCGACGATATATTGATTTGAAATATCGTGTGACGACGACGTAACTCCTAAACTTAATTCTTTTTTATTTAAGCATTGTAACTTTATACTAGAAAATAAAAATACGTGGCTAATATTTTTTCATTATCTAACAGACGGACTAATTAGATTTTAAATTTTCTTACCCTTGAAACTAACCAATTGAAGTCTCGAGTAGTTGGCAACGCACTCGTGATGTCTCTAATGTTGCAGGTGCACGCTACCACGACCGGTCACCACCCCACGGCCGGTACAAAAAATAGGTCACGGAAAATTTTTACAGAACTATAAATTACAAAAATTGTGAATCCACAAATTACCAAAAACCTAAGAGTGTCATTGGAACCAAATTTTGAGACAAATAATATTATTGTCTTCTTGGAAACTGTGATAGCTGCAATTGTCACTCGTCGGTAGCAGTATATTAATCGAGTCTGTTCAAACTATTTAAAGGAAAATCGATAACGATTATAGTCATACATACGTTATGAACTTATGACTGACTGATCTTTGAACTTACATTTCTACAATGGTACGTATAAAATAAAATCAATAAAATGAGTTTTAATTTTTATCAATCATTAGTATCAATTTTTTTCAGTTCGACTTCTAGGTACTGATACAAGTTGAGGTCCAACACTTGATGCCAAGATGCTTAATGTGCGAGGACCACCCTGAGGAAACGGTGCAACAAATGTTAGGGCCATACCCTACATGGGCTGAGCACCGACGTGCCCTCAAGGATGTGATCGGCGACGGCGACCTCTCGCGTCCGGCCCTAGTCTGGGCCATGATGCGAAGCGAGGAGGACTGGGATGCCGTCTCCTCCTTTTGCGAAGTAGTCATGCTAGCTAAGGAGGAGGGGGGGCGCGTTAGGCAGCGATGCGCTGCCTCCTCACAGCCCAACCGTCGCAAAGGACACTCCGGGCGTCGGGTATCACGTGATGATATCCAGTCACCGTAAGCACGGGACTACGGACGGCGAGCATGGATAGCTCGACAGCTGCCCGATGACTAGAACCAGACCCGAGCGTACGGTAACGGGTACGAGCTCAAAAAGCGATCAGATCACCACGGATGTGGCCCAATCGGGCTGATGCCGACACGGAGCCGGGAAAGACTTAACGGGTTGCCAGGGCTCCGGCTCGAAGTGCAATAGTCGGAACGGGGTGGTTTTTAATCACTAAGAGTCTGACACTCCCTCTCGTCTCACCCGGGCGGGAGAAGTCATTGGATGCTTTTCCCCACTCAAAACCACACATCGCTTTTCTTTGAGGCCGTGGTATCACTCCAGCGAACTGTCCTATTCGTGCCAAAGCATAGCTCTCCCACACTGGGTGGTGTAACTCTGCCTACCTCTTTTCCGAATGAAAAGTTCTGTCGTGTAATTACTCTTATCACTATTGGTAATATGTTGGTAATTTTTTAATTTGACAGATTTCTTTCATTAATTTCACGAACCTCAAAGAATCTTTATAAATTCATATTCAATGCAAGAAGACAACAAAAATATGAAAGTTTCCGATTTTAACTCTGTGCCTAAAGTACGACAATGCCATCTAGTGACGGTAATAGTGAAACCGCGCTGTCACATTTCATTGTATGACGGCTGTCGTTCAATGTTGCCAAGTTAGGCACTGCTGTCACTTGATTTACAGTATAACTTATTGCCATTCACGAAAAAAATTTTAATATCGATCGGATGGTACGAATGTAATAGTAATGTTTCTAATTGGACACATTATTAATCCTTTTAAACATCAGCTTTTATAGATAATTAATGCAAAAAACATTTACTGGTTGGTAGTCTCGACGGCAAATATTACGACAGAAACAGTCGCTAAGTTGTAATGCGTTTTCAAACTTATTAAAAGCAAATTGAAAAACATCATTTTATTTACAAAAAAATCTTATTTATACAATTACTTTATTATATTTGTTTCTCATAATGATAAATATCTAAATCGAATCGAAATCAGCGATTTTGTGACTAAAATATTGTGTCGTGTCGTTTCGTTACCAATGTTGAGAGTACCAGCCTGTACCTTTCTACCTTCTAAAGACGAGAATATCGTCCCAACTTTAAATATTTTAACTGGCAATATTTTATAAGCTTTGTAGGGATTGCCAAAGGAATAGATCGGCTTCCTAATATTGAATAACAATTATTTACTCCTAAATTGTAATGTACCTACCGCATGCTAGCGGTTAACACAAATTCGCATTCAAAATTGCAGTTTAAAAAAGTCGTGATAAACCTATGATCAGTGAACTTTTATGACTAAATTCATGAAAGTGGATGAAATAATCGCAATGGCATTTACACACCTACAAGAAATTATTATTTTAAAAAAAATATAAATCTAAATAAATGTAAAATTATAAATTATTATGTAAATATTGGAGATAATATCAGTATTGATAATAGAAGTATTTCTATATAAATGCATAGCAGTCATTAATATTAATTCCAATAATTTATTTAAAATTCTCTACAAATTATATTTCTAAATACTATTTAACCAAAAAAAAGGGCCCGGAAGAAGCGTCCATGGAGCTCCTTGCTTTGGTACACCTCCTTGCGATCATTGACGCTCAGTACCATTAATTCAATAATCATTTATTCTGTTAATAATACCTACTAGTAACTTTGTAACTTATAGTTATAACTAAGATTTTTTTATTATTATTCAATGCACTTTATAATTATTTTAACAAAAAAATAACAAAAATGACTTAATTATTAAGAATAAATAGTTATATACAAATAACTAAAATATTTACACCTTAAAAAACAATGAAAGTGTTACATTAACTTAAAGGCGTCAAAAAAATTTCATTGAATCGAATCGAATGCATGCTAACGAGATATTTTTCTGAATTGAAAATTTTGAATTTTTTTCATCAATAAAACTTACAAAAGTGTCCTCGAAGACGGGCGCACCTAGGAGGCGAAGCGAACATTTATCGACAACCGAGATATTAGTGTCCTTCGCGACAGCTAGGTTGTGAGGAGGTAGCGATTCGCTGCCTCATGCGCCCCGCCTCCTCCTTAGCTAGCATGACTGCTTTGCAAAAGGAGCAGACAACATCCCAGTCCCCCTCGCTCCGCATCTTGACCCGCACCTGGAGCCGGACGCAAGAGGTCGCCGTCGCCGATCACATCCCTGAGGGCACGACGGTGCTCAGCCCAGGCAGGGCATTCCCCAACTGTGTGTTCCACCATATCCACAGGTCGGTCCTCGCAGTAATGACACCCGGGCGTTTCCTTCCGGCCTATCAGACACAGGTACCTCCCGAAGCTCCCAAGTCCGGTGAGGACCTGTATCAGGCGGTAGGTGAGGACGCCGTAGCGTCTTTCAAGCCACTCCTCAGCTTACCGCTGCAATGGCAACGAGCCCAACCTGTAACAGATAGGGTATAAATATCTACTTTTGGAGGATCCGGAAAAGAGAGACTAACTATTGGGGCCGGGTGTTTGCTGTCCAGAGCTTTCAGCGTATCTGGAGAACATGGAGATTTATATTAATCACGAACGTCTCTAGTATGCCACTGAAATGTCAAACTGCGATGTCATAATATGTCAAAAGTCAAAATTGTTGTTTGTTGTCAAATAGTGTAATTTGTATCGATCGGCTGTACTTTACTTACTGCGACTGCGCGATATCTTAATCTTTGGTTTAGAGTACGTCGCGCTTTTTAACTGTGATTGTGTGAAGTGATTACTTTTCTCCACAAATTCAGTAATTAATAAGGTTTTTTCTCACTAATATTTGTGCAATTTTTGTGTGCGTTTTGTAAAATTTTCTCTAAGAACCGGCCGGCTGGTTTCATTTATTATTCAATTTATTTGTCTTAAAACAACAATCGAATAACAATATTGATCCAACTGCAGACAATAAGCTAAAAATCTAAAAATACTTTTCCTAAAATACCTTGGAAAATAGTTTAAGATGTGCAATATTTTCATAAATTAAATTACCTACCTATATTATTTCTTACTTTAAAATTGTACTTAGATAATAAAACTTGCTATAAATATAATTATAATAAACTCGATAGCTATCGAGTACTTATAGCTATAAGTACTCAAGTTTTTAAGTCGAATATCTAATAATTAATAATTTAGGTATCCTAAGTTGAGACCAGATTTGCTTGCACATATTCTGTTGAGAGGTATACTGCAGAACGTCATGGAACAAAGTGAGGCGCGTCCTTCCATTTCTAGAACAAAGAACAAAATGATTTTAGCACATGATCTATTTAACAATACTTTAACAAACTAAATTTAAAAAAATAACCATTGGGTACTTTTACAAAAACTTATATTCTTTTAAATCTTTTCTTATACTAATTATATAAAGCCGAAGAAGTTGTTGGAACATGCTAATCGGGTCTGATTTGAATAATTCTTTGAGTACCTTTTCGAGTTGTGCATTTTCGAGGAAGGCTATAGGCTATAAAACATCACATTATCATCAATAGGAGCCAAACAAAGCGGGTAAAACCACATGGGAGTACTAGCTACTCCTCTCTAATTCAAAATTAAATCTTATGAGTCATCGGTGTTAGCCGACAATAACCAACTAAAGTGGTATTATATTATACAGATACAATGTCTATGGTGAAATTTAATAGAAAATTCACTAATATTGGAACAGAGCCTAATGCCAGTGAGGCATATCAATGGCATTCTACGAGGCTGCACAGATGTGGCTTTCCTAAGCCTAGAGCCCAGTGGCTTGCATCATGGCAGCTTATAAGGATATAAGGTGACTACGAATTTGCCATTTTAAAAGTCTGTAGCAACTCATAATTAAATAATTTATGACTATAAACTAACATGTTTGTTAACTAATACACGCTAAGCGACAAATGCAGCTGAGCCCAGTGTGCTGTGCGGCGAATAGAAAACAAGCTATAGCCTTCCTTTTACTAAGCTACTTGCTATGCTATAAGTGCTTAGCAAGCCATAGTATATGTGTATAGTATTGAGTATGGTATACATAGGTAATTAACGGGATTAATCCACTTATTTCATCAACAGACTATAAATGCCCACTGCTGAGCAAAGCCTCTTCTCACACGGAGAGGGTTAGAGCATTAACTGGTCGAGTACCGTATTTATAGACACAATTAAAGAACAATAGGTTGCGGTCACCGGTGACTGCTTGGTGTTTGACAGTTTAATCACCACACTTGCTCAATGCGGGTTGGCAATTTCAAACTTATAATTAGAAATTATCAGCCCAGGTTTTGACCTTCCTAGCTCAAATTCTTATTCTTTACTAAACTCTTATTCTGAAAAATCTGATAACCGATAAATCATAGAGAGTACCTGGCTACCTAACTACTTAGTTTTATTCCAAACACACAAAAGTTTGCACATCCCAAATATTAGTGAGATTTAATAGCATATTTTTAAAGAACATTCAGTAAGATGAGTAGCGACGAAGATTATGATAATCTGCCGAATATAACTTTATTCGAGCCGACACCTGGCTGCAGTAAAGATGATCCACCGTTGGTTAAAAAAAAGGTTCGGGATTTTCGTACAGTTGTTATTTATATATTATTTAAATGTTTATATTGTAGTTGTGTCACGACTGCAATTGTAGGACTGCAAACCAAACGTGTAGATTGCAGTTCTATTGCAGTCGTGACGAAACGGTTGCAAACCAAACGAGCACTCCGATTGCAGTCGTGTCAACTGCGTTCAAACTGCATACGAACTGCATTTCGCAGTAGAACCTGCCCTACCCAACCAGCAACGTCACCCTCGTTACTGAACAAAACGTAGTCTATTTTACTCCAGAGCGCGTTTAGCAGATTCTATGTCGTTAGACGTAAAACAAACTGCTACTAGGCCTTCAGACTTCAAAAGCTTTTTTACTTAGTGCTTTGCGTTATTTTGAGAATTTCGAAGATCAGAAGATCTGAGTACCTAGATATTTAGACCCCAGTTAACCAATCTCTGGTCACTGTAATGCCTTGTTCATACCACGCTAGTAATTTGGTCAAGTAAACGAGTAGATATTTAGTAGTTCTCTCTCGCTTTGATTTCGGGACAGGTGCGAAACAGAACTATTAAATACTCGCTACTCGACTAAATTACTAGCGTAGTGCGAACAAGGCATAAACGCAGGTCTGCGGACGGCGAGCAAGGATAGCTCGTACCCCGGACCCCGACTGGAGCCTGACCCGAACGTACGTACGATGCAATGACATCTATTGCGGTCCGGTCCTTCGGAGCTAGAGTAGGAACGGTAAAGGTCTGCCACAGCCTCTCTCCTCTCAACCAACTGGCAGCTGCGCTATTTATTTATCTCCATTTCATATGAATGCGACCTTAATAGTACATGCCTAAATTATCTGACTTGGTTATCAAACCCGAATGTTCTTACTTTGCACAGCGAAGCAATAACTACCTATACATAACTAGTTATTTTATTCAAAGAGATTAATGTCTTGGTTTACAGTGCAAAGAGTTCGTAGTACCTCCAGCGGAGGAGCTCGTGAAGGAGAGAGAGAAGTTGCGTAAGCTGAAACTAGAGCTGCAGTCTTTCAATTGCCCAGAAATTGAACCTCGCTGCGATTTGGACGCTGAGCTGCGTGAGGTTGGGTTGATGAAGGTACAAGGTCCGTTGTGGCCAGCGCAGCGCCCCATCCCGACCGCTCGCGAACTGTGGAGCACGATGAGCCCATATCTGATGTCCCGCGGTGTCACCTTGGACAAATTGCCTAATCGCCTCCCAAAACTTACGGCCGCTTTAACAACTGATACGGGCGACCGCATTATTCCACCAGCCGATTTTGGATGGTCCGACAGTGAAATGCTGGGCGCCTGCGTAGTGACGTTAGTTGCTACAATTGCCAGAGAATCTCACATAAAACGTGTTGCGGCGCGAACGTTACAGACGCTCCTGGACTACCACGCGAGTCATTTACAGGTCAGTTGCTTAAGATATTATTATGAGAAAGAAAGAAACAATGTGATTAAAAATTAGCATTTCGCAAACGATGAAAGAGTTCTTAACAAAACAAGTTTTAGGTAAAGGACAATGCCAGAAACTTTATAGGTACAACTCTGCTGACTCACCAAATAATGTTATTGTAGAGGAATGCCAAATGTAGATATACCATACTATTTACTGCATAATTAGTGAGGAGTAGATATGAATTAATTAATAAACAGATGGAGTATAGTGATGTGATGTCAATTTTGTCTCGATATTAGGTACCTAAGAACTCATTAATCTTTTCTCCTTTCCTTCCTTCCTTTATTGTTGATATAATGATTGTTTTGTCTTACAGTTGGAAGACTTCTTGCTGATGATAGTGAAATCATTCCCGGATCCGCGCATGCGCCGAGATATCGGCGATATGATAATCAACGGCGCGGGACTGGGTGCCGACCGCGTGTCGAGGGCTCTGTTCTACACCACCTTGCTAACGATTATTCATAAAGCGAATCCTAATGCTGGTATCGCAATAAATAAGTACAAAGTCGGCGAATCTAGTAAATCTTGTCAACCAGTTAAAACTGAAACGAATGAAGCTAGCGGTGCTATTCATGTTGGTGTGATTAAATTTTGCGGGAAGAGTGAACCTTGTGACACCCCAGGTGCAGCTGCATCTGCACCTGCAGCTGCACCTGCACCTCCACCTGCACCTGCACCTCCACCTCCTGCTCCAGCTCCAGCTCCACCTAGTGTCGCTACTGTGGAGGATGACGATGTAAAAGTGACCGTAGCAAACGTGATAGAGGGCGACTCCTATCCACTACTACGCGTTGCTGAGGCAATTCCGTACTGGCGCCGCTGTACAGACGCCGAGCGTTATGAAGTCATCAAGCTCGCAGGCCGTTTGATGGCCGATTCGATGTCTGCGGACGGTACGGAGGCGACACGAAGGGCACGGAAGCTACTGCTAAAGAATATCAAACAGACAAAAACACAGCATGCGTCGCCTTATCACCAGTATAAGGTAAGTAGGTGTAATATAATCATATACCTACCAATTTTGTTATGTTTTTCCGCTTAGAATAAATCCAATATTTTTGTTTTTGCGATATTATCTTTGTATGTAGAGATTAAAGGATAAGTACATTTCCGTTGACTACATAATCAAAGTCGAGGGCGAAAAACTGCTCTTTTAGAACCGTAACTAAATGTCAATGAATCTAGTTATAATTGTGAACTAATTAGTCCAATAGAATATTACAATTTACAAATCAGTCTTTATTGTTAGGTATCAAAATAATACTTTAGCACTTTACGTACGTAGTGTTTCTATGAAGAATTCAGTGATTAAATTGCCGTAGTATTGTGCATGAGGTCAGATTACTTCTTGTCATTCGTGGACATCGTGGGCCAACGGATAACAAAACTTTTTTTTTTAAGGGGGAATATCATCGAATGACTGCTCCCGCCTGGGTGAGGCGGGAGGGTGTGTCAGACTCTTACTAACTAAAAACCACCCCGTTTCTTCTCCTGCACGTCGAGCCGGAGCCCCGGTTACCCGTTAGGCTCTCCGCGACTCCGAATCGGCATCGGCCCAGTTGGGCCCCATCTGAGGATAACAAAACTTATTGTATATTTTCTGCTTTTCAGGAACGTGTGGAGATCGGGAAACTGGACATATTGTTCTCCGACAAATATTGAAGAGCCAAAACACAAACTTATAATCTAAATAGGTGACGAGATCCCACGTAATTTACCCAAACCCTTCAAAACGCTTATTTCACGTTCATTTATCATCTAATTATTTATTTAACATGGTGTGTCTAGTCATTTTCTCTCACCTAGTCAATGCTTTGAAATAGTAAAAGCAACTCTAATCAAGTTACTCAAACTCAGGCCTAAGAAGCTAAGAAATAATTAATTATATTAAACTTATGTACATAATCCCAAACGGCATCCTGACGCTATAAAAATCATGGCAGCGTCGTCAGAAATTCTAGAAATAAAATAGAATTCAATCTCCGTGCACCTTTATATTCGCTGCTGCAGCGAAGTAAGCGTCAGTATGTAAGTTAGTAACTGGCAATATGCCGGAAACGTAATGTAAGTAAATGTTATGTCGACATTAGGACGGAGATAGTAGCATAGATAGGTAAGCACCTACCCAAGTAGGTACAAAGGTAAGTCTCAAGTTAACAAGTCTGATTGTATAAGGTTCTCCGGTCCAATTGCCGACATATTTATGTTTTTAATGTATTTGATACGAAAATGATATAGTCATTCAACTATTTAATAATGTAATGACTTTGTGATGAATTTTAAAACCTTTTTGTGATCGATCTGAGATCAAAATTTAGTAGGTATGTAGGAATTTTTCTATCTTGTGTAATCTTTAAGATTTTTGGAATTGTATTTTGTAATTGTTGCTAGTCGTACGTGAAGTGTATATCGGAGCTAGAGCTACTATTATATTTTTAAGACATGAGATCTAGTTCCGTGAGTAATTTAAGTACGAAAGTAAGTACCTACTGTATGTGAATGGATGAAAAACGCGGCCAAAGAAAACGTGGAGAGATTGTGTGTGAACAATGATATGAGAGCGTTTGTATTGAAGTGTTATCTAATAGGAGAGAATACAAAAAGAAGACATTGTGCCGAATCAAAAAGTAGCTTGTCATAGGGGCAAGTAGAGGTAGGTACATCAGGTATTTAGATGTTTAGATAGGTACCTACTTAGTTCATATATCAGTATTACTATTCATCAAAACACGCATAATGATTACATTTTTATCGATGGGTCGTTTTAGTTTAAGTGTCTCAAAAAATGAAATGCTCAATACTTAAGTTATTTTTATTGCTGTCCAATTGTTGGCACAATTAGCAGCCTATTTTAATGTATTTGATACCAAAATGATATTAATATTTAGTTATTTGACTACACCTTTAGGGCCGAAACACATAACCGCGTTGCGTCACCGCAACGCTAAAATCGGCAGTTTCGAGTTGCGGCGTCGTGAAAAAGAACGGTTTGTTGTCGTTCGGTAGGATAACCAGTTCGTCGTGATTTTTATTGTGGATAAACGCGTCTCTGCCATGGACCAACGTGAAAAACTTATTGCTTATTTGTTATTAAAAAGACATTACTCTGCTATACTAGAACGAGCGCCGATTTTAGCGTTGCGGCGACGCAACGCGGTTATGTGTTTCGGCCCTTAGGTAGATACCCCAAAAACATGTGATGATTTTTTTAAAGATTTTGTGATCTGAGATCAAAATTTATTTTGTAATTTTTTTCTAACTTATACTCTTAAAATTTTTGTAACCATGTTTAATCAATTAAATAATCACGTAGTATATCGCTGGTTTTTTTATGAACACTAGTTCTTTCTAATCCGTGAACCCAAAATAATCCATACCACTTGCACTGCCGGGCAAGGAGTCTCGGGTTCGATTCCCGGCTCGTGGAAATTTTGTAAAAACCTGAGTAGTAGCACGGAGTCTGGAAATGTGCCCGGTATAGGGCAATAGGCTCACCCCCTACTACATGGGACTCATAACATAAATAGTGAAAAGTGTGTGTTACATTGTACAGTGGCATAATGTAAACCTCTGCCTACCCCTTCGGGGTTAAAATGCATGTTATGTTGTTATTTTAAAAAAAAAATAGTTATAAAAGGAAATTACTTTTCGATGCGATTCTCAGATATTTTGGTTAACTTTAGTTCAAGCACTCAAAATAAAATGTTTAACTTACAAGTTAATATATTATTATGTATTAGGATCACAGATTTTTTTTTTCTAAGGGGGGCAAAGTCATCGAATGACTGCTCCCGCCTAGGTGAGGCGGGAGGGAGTGTCAGACTCTTACTGACTAAAAACCACCCCGTTCCTTCTCCTGCACGTCGAGCCGGAGCCCCGGTTACCCGTTAGGTTCTCCGCGACAGGCTCATAGATAGGTGTTTATTTCAGTTTTTCTTATTGTTTAGTTGAGTAACTTACATGTTGGACATGTTTAGATACCATATAGTTTAGGTACCTAAATAACACAAATAAAATTATTGAAAAGGAGTTAGAATTTCTAATAAAACAAGGTATTTATTTGTAAATGTTTAATGCCTTTTGACGCCGTGACTTATCAGACGGTCTAAAAACCTGCGGTCTATCCTTACAAATAAAGTGACTATTTTTCACACTAAAAAGCTAATATTGATAGTATTGAAAACATTAGCTAATTGAGATCAGCAGTAACAACAATATTGTGACCTGTACATCAGAATTGTGAAGTATTTGTAGCTTGCTTTAAAACAGACCACTATGGATAGCACAATCTAGTAATTATTTAGACGAAGAAGTAAATATAAATTGTATTACTGTCAATTTATAAATTGCAAACAACGCCATCTATTGATTGCAACCCGAACTCTGTGTACAGGCACGGCTAAAGTTTCCAATGCTAACAACACAGTACATACAGCGAATCTTTATTTAAATAACAATTATAATAAATTAATTATTATAGTGTTACAATCGCCGACACAAATCTGGTACATATACAATCTTTGGAATGCACTTGTAATTTCATTTTGAGTGTACTGTGAAATATGTTCTATATTTGTCTGTCTCCTTCATAGACCCAGAAATACTATTATTCCTGTCTGAGTAGACTATCATACATACTTAAACTATAAGAATCAAGTAGTAGCGAAACAGTAACACAATCTCAACAAATTGTGATTAATATCGACGATTGCAAAATGAATGTTACACATTAATTACCTACAGAAAATTCTGAAACACACAATGCTTGCTTTCTACTATTATTTATATTAAAAAACGGTGTAAATATTCGTTGAAAAAGGGACTGATTATTTTATATATAGTTAGTAGTTACTGATTGCGGGGACAAAGTGAAACAGAGTAACAGTAAGGTCTCTGAATTTTGCGGGCAGCGGGGCGGAGGCGACGCGGTTGACACTGCTTGACGCTTGACTAGAGTGCACCGCTCTTTGCCCGCCGCTGTGTTTTCGAGAACCAGTCCAATTGATTTTACGCATAAGATCCTGCCGTTCCCGCGCCGCCGCCGCCACGCCCCGCTGCCCGCAAATTCGCGTCAGAGGCCTAAGAAGTAGGATTTCGTTTGGACACAAATGCCTTTCTTACGTGACAATACAATTACATACAATTTTCTATGAAATTTAGTTGTTGTGCCAAAGTCAAAGTCAAAGTCAAAGTCAAAATCATTTATTTCAATTAGACCAGGATGGCACTTTTGAACGTCAAACAACAAAAATTTATAAGTGAAGCTAGTTAGCCAAAATGTTTCTTTCACCAAGACTTATTTAATTCATATACATACTATTAAATTCGATTGGTTTGGGCATATTCCAACACCCAATACTGAAATCAGTACTATTATGCTTAAATCAAGGATCTGTGTTTTGTTTAAGTAAAAACAGTCCTTATTTCCTTTCCAAATGTTCAGTGTTTATGAAATAATTCAATGTTTTTGTAGAATTAATTGAAGTTACTTTAGTGTTGTCTAAGGAAGCTTACTTGGCACTATTCTATGTGCGTTAACTTCAATATAGGTAACAAATAAAAGGCACATCAAAATACAATTTTCCAAATATTGTTAATTCTTGTCTTTTGTTAATAAATGTATAATAGTTCAATATTCAATATACACAACATTATGTATGTAAAAGTCGCATAAATGCATAACTTCGTTTACTAAAATTTGATGTTTATTCATTGTAAAATCTTAATTTTAAGACGCAATTAATAAAATTGCTGAACCCATAGTCACTCTCTTAATGTATTTTTCGATTCGCATGTACATAAAACATGTCGATTTATGTAATAAATAAAAACTAAATTGTAAGACTGTTAAGGAATGTATATATTAGGAAACATATTAATTGTAACAACATATTAACTTAGGAAAGGCCTAGAACCTGGCCTAGGTAAATGCATCATACATCAATGTAAAAAAAAACTTTTTTTAATCAAATATACAATCTTTTATAAAGACTACACTCACACAGATTACAAAACAGCCAAAGCATTTAATGTCACAATAATTAGTATCTACTTTAAAAAAACACCAATTAATTTTGTAGATAATGGAATGTAAGGAGGCTACAATCACAAACAACAAGAATATAAGAAAATGCCGATTACATGGTTCAACACAAACAATGAACGTTTACAAATTTCGAATTTACCAAGCAAAACATTGCAAATACTTTTTTATAAAATCTCATTATATTAGCTTTTTTCGAGGGGAATTTCACTGACTCAGGAAACCAGAAAGCATTTTAAAACCTCTTCACAGTAATCACATACATCTAGGACATTTATGGAATAAATAAAAAACAACAATATAAATATATATTAGACATCTTTTTAAAAACTTATCGTAATAAAGTTACCTTAGTAAGTAGGTATCCTAATATAAAAATATCCATATATTAAAACATACTTTTGACCTGCAACAACCTGCTCACCAATAGACAGCACACGTGGCTACTTTTAGCTGCCAAAACAGTAATAGATTATCAACTTTATAACAAAACAATAAGGTTGAAAATCTACTAAAGAAACTCGACAGATAAAGGTAGCTTGTGCGTCATTGGAGTTCCGATTGGTAATATTAATAATATTTATAATATTTTTATATGTCGCGGCAACTTGTGAGAGTGAATATGGTTGCCACGGCAATGTTATGTAGGATATTCGATATTTTTAGCGATGGTCATACCACTAGAAGTTAGTATTTTGAAATTATAATGGGTGCTGGCATGCTCTATCCAAGCCCAGTACTATAACGAACCTCAGTCAGTACATTTGACTCCTAAATGACAGTGTCTAATTTCATTATTTTTTTTTTTCTAAAAATTCAGTTTCTTGAACTGTTACTTACAAATTTTCTCTAATATTAATCTCACTTTTGAAATATTACATCTATATTTTTACAATTCCGTATATTTTAGAGCACTGTATAGTTAAACACATGATTGAATTTACATCAGACCTTTTATTCCCTGAAGGATGGAGTAGAGGTGACAATTTACACATATAACATCCACTTGTCAGTTATGTCATGAGTGCCAAACATTAGTTATGAGTAGGATGAAGGAGTAGATAATTTAATTTGCTAATAAGTTCGTTTACACAATATAACCAATCACGATTAAGTTGGTGCAGAAATTAACCAATCATAAACTATTGGTTCGTTGCACAACCTGTCAAAAATTTGATATGACAGTTTTATATAAAAATAAAAGAGGTTTTATGGCTTTTTTTAAGGGGGGAAAAATCATCGAATGAGGTTTTATGGCTAGTATCGCGATAGCGATGCATCAAGCAATGGCTACATTGTTTTTTTTAAATTAATGCTGAAATTGAATATTTGATTATGTTGGTAAGCGATCTTAAAAGCAAGAAAAAACATAGAATAAAGCTATAAGTTATAAATAATAGTAGATATTTGTAATTCGATACAATTATGACAAGATGTTCCAAAAATGAACAATATAATTTGTACATGTGATAACCTGAGAGGCCCTTCTTATGACTGCGCTGTAAATAGTAAAAAAACAATACTTTTTCCTACTTAGAGTAAGTTCCAAAAGAAATCTGATAATCTCTCGAATTGGCACATACACCGTCACTCTGAATCACATTTTGAGGTACCATAACGGCAATATATAACATATTTCTTTAATATTGATTCCTTTTTTGTTTTAACCGCTTGAATGCACCGATATGAGACACAATAGACAATACATTGTGTCTCCCGTGGATCCACGATTAGACACACGAAAGGTCAATAACCTGATTAATGCCACCCACCTGAAAAATATTTTGTTCTATACTATTTACAAAGCAGTCCTGCTGAGTCCCAAAGGTCTATCACCTGGTTAAATTATACCGTTGAGTTTTAGGACATTGTATATGTATATATTATAAGCTATGTACTATATTAAAATGGCTATAAGCTTATGGGTATATTAATTACTATTTAGTCCCTCATCTCTTAATTTTGTTCTAACCTCAAACAGTCTGCGCCAAAATATCAACCCTCCCATATTTTAAAACTACAATAAATTGAATTGGGTAGTTTCCAGGGTATCAAAATTGAAAATCTAATTAGTCCGTCAGTTAGATAATGAAAAAATATTGGACACGTATTTTTTTATTTTCTCGTATTAAGTTGCAATACTTAGATAAAATGGCGCTAAGTTTAGTCGTTACGTCATAACGTGCTACAAAATGTGGTCCGCTGTGATGTCACACGATATTTCAAATTAATAATTATATCGTCGGAAGTATTTAATTTTGTGAGAAAAGAAAAAATACGGGTAAAAGTTTTACTTAAATTAATGTACCAGACGGACATTAAAATAAAATTTAGGAAACTACCCTATTGATGATATCATTCTACACATACTGATTATTTAGAAAATTGTTAATACATGAATACGATAAACACTTAGAAAATCTTCAAATCTGTATATATTTATAAAATGAGTAAATTGGATTATTTTCCTAAAATTGGTGATTAACATACGATGTGTTTATTATCTTAACTTTATGTGAATACTTCGATCATTAACCAACTCGCTTCGCATGCATTTTCCTGCCATGTCGATATCGTTTTATTAAAATGCATTATTTTCCAAGTAGTTTTTACTTACAGGCTTTAATTCTAGACATAGGGATAGTGCTGGATATGAAAAACTGAAACAGTAAATAAATCCCATTGCGCATGGCGTGGCAAACGGGAATCGCAACGAATCGGTTGGCATTATTACTACCAATACTTGTTACACATTCAATGTAATAGCTAAAGCTATGTATTGTGGTGTTATAATGACAAATAATGTTACAGCAAATATGTAATGTGTTAATTTAAAAAATGTGTGTCACAACTCGATCTTCCATATAATTAACGAACAAAGTTACAATCGAGAGATCGTTATTCGATACTTCACCTCGACACCACGTAATAAGTATATTTAATTTTAAAAAGTTCTACAGTAAATTGTGCGTTGCTTTTATTTCTAAAAGAACGGTTTGTGTTGTTGATGTTTATACTACATTCTAATATAAGAAATATCGATACTTCAAATTGCCTTGGTATTATAATGTTGTTATAATCCATTTGTGTATTAAACAATAGTAAAGTAAACAATGTACTTATAAAATAAAAGATTGTCCAGCCCGAACGGATAAATTATAATTAATCCAGGCACTTAGTATCCACAGTCTCAGGAGTAGCCTGCCCAGTTCTGGAAAATTCTGTCTACTCGTACGCGGATTTCAATCGTTGGAAGTTTCCGTTCCTCCAACGACTGTAATATTTGGGCACTATAAATAAACCAAAAAGTATATACATAAATATGGTGAGTTAATGAATTGATTACAACTTAGCACTGTGTTGTGTTGCTATGAAATGATGATTCAAACGTATTTGTATGATCATATTATACAATGCTAGTCTTTATGAAGTGCACATACCAAAAAATAGAAAAAAATAAAAGAAAAATTGAACCAGATCGGTAATGAAAAAATTAAAAATAATTGTAGAAAACTGTAAAAAAAGAATGTTTTTGAATAAAAAAAATATATAATTGAAGGTAGGTTGTCCCTCAATTTTTATTTAAACCGCTTGAATGCACCGATATGAAACAATCGAAAATATATTGTGCCTCGCTTGGATCCACGTTTAGACAAACGACGGGTTAAAACGATGTCTTATTATTTTTAATCATATATTAATAATAAAATATTTTCTCATTTCGACATGTGCACTTTATAAAGACACACTGTATTCAAGAACATGTCTATCAAATGCAGAGAAGTGGTAGGAAAACTTCAGGCCGCCCAATAAGGTGGGTCTTCGAAACAGCTGGGCCATGTAATCAAAAGCTCAGCGATATCAATTCGGCTGTAATATACTATTCTACTTTGTGTCACGACTATTTCAGTCGAGGATTTTATTAGGTATTCAGTTTCAAGAGAACCATAAACGTTATTCTTTTTTTTTATTCTACCAATTTTACATTAGAATGTTTGCCCACCACTGATTTATAGATTTTTGTTACTACTGCATCTTATGAATAAAATTCAATTCAGTTGATTTTAATTCGCTAAATTCTATTGTACAATTGTTGAAAGCGCATTGTGAAGAATGTCAACGGCTTCAGACGGGGAAGCAACTGATGTTACGACTTCAGCTGTATATTCGCGATGGTATTACATAGAAGTAAAAAACGTTAATTTTATAAGTTACACTTTAGAGAAGTCTTTGACAAACCGGGGGTTAGAAATAAATTTAAAGTTCTTAGAAGACACAAATGGTACAAATTTTTAAATTACATTATGTTAACATTCTCCATACTCTTATATAAAAAACAAGTGCATAGACTGATTAGTTAATGCACCCGTTGCATAGACAAAGATGCAGTAGTAAATAAATAATGTAAGGTTGTTAATTAGATTTAAATTTAATTGCTTACCCGGAACCGAAATGATGAATGTACCCCATGTCCCTGAATTGAAATATTCGATGGAACCTTAAGTGTCTAGATGAAAGAAGTAGTAATTTTATGTTAGTGGCGCTAGTGGGTTGTTACGTCTCTTAATAGATAGTTTTTAAGTATTTTGTAGTTATTTGACTTACCCTAAGTAACCCCACATTGGGCAGCTTTGAATAAATCTTTCATCTAGACAATTAAGTCGGTGTAGCGTTTAGCAATGAAATATTAATGCAGTATAAATCGTGCTTCATACGTGTGTGGAACATACAGCGACGTTTCTATGAACTACTTTTCTCTAGTCGAGTACATGCATAGTACCAAAGTGTAGTTTAGACTAGCAATAATAATGTAGACACTAGCACAATAAGCTATCATTATCTATCAAATAACAATCTCCTGTGTGTCCTGTTAGCAATGGCATCCGGACCCAAGACGTGGGCACTGACAATACTGGCCCACCATTTCATGGCCACGTAGCGAACTATGGAGAGGACTTAACACCGAGTTATCTGAAGGATCAAATACGAAACGAGGTGATCCGACAGAGCGTAAAAGTTGTACCCAAAGGATTAGCAAGATAAAATGGTAGTAGGCCGGTTACATTTGTCGAAAAACTGATGAATAAATGTTTACCCAAACGTAGGTGTTATGGAGTGAACCTACATACGAGCAAATGTGTGTAGGACGTCCTTCAGTAAGGTGAAGTGAGATTTACAAAGTGGCTGTTAGTGGTTGAATGCGAAGACCACAATATTGAACTCAGTGCAGTGTTATTGAAGGCAGGCTATCCAGTAGTGGGTCAAAAACAGACGACGATGAAAGGAATTTGATAGATCCAGCTAGCTTAATGTGCCGTCTTCGGAACATTATACCTGTAGCTAATATAGTCTGTACTCACACACTAATGCCATTGAACAGAATTTTGAAAAATTATACTTATACTAGCGGACCCGACAGACGTTGTCCTGCATATTAAAATATGAACTGAACGACTGCAGCGCCATCTGCCGGGCTCATTTGTGAATCTAAACCATCTAGGGCGTCACCCAAACACATACAGAAAAATTCATTGAAATCGGTCAAGCCGTTTAGGAGGAGTTCAATGACATACACACGTACAGCAGAATTATATATATAAAGATAGTTCACAAGTTGAACGACCAAAGATTGGTAGTCTAAACTAAGCTTAAAATGATTAATGTAGGAATGTGAAATGTTTGTTATAAATGATTATATTAATTACGTTAAATGGCTTACTCGTGTAGCTCAGGTAAGTCGAAAAGTTTGCAAGCTTTGCGCAGCCACGACATACGCTGTATCGCGCGTCTTTTGGCACGCATGCGGCTCATAACCATGGCATGCATGGTCGAATATTCTCAGGAATAAACCAAATAACCTAATTAATTTAATAACGAGATGAATGTGATGTTTATGTTATCTACGTGCATATGCTACCAACAGGCATTACAGTGCTCAAGAATGAACGAATATTGATATAAATACAACAAACACATGTTGTACCCACATTTTATCTTTTAAACTATTTTACATAATATAAACTATTATAAATAGATTTGTTCGAAGTGCTACATTTTATAGTACGGGCTGATATCTGTCCTTTTATGGAATAGAGCATTTAGTGTTTGGATACAATCTAGAAGGGAGGTACTAAACTAGATTTACTTTAGGAGTAAGGGTATAGGTCAGTTCTGTGTCACGATTTGAAGTCTGTCCGCCATTGATCATTATCTTCAAGACAAACTAGACCCCATGGCCGTATATAATAAACAACATAATGTATTAGCTAAATAAAGTAACTGACATTTTTCCTTTTTAACAGATTTCCGCAAATGAGGTTCATTACGCCGGCGTTTGTAGACTATTTCGGTGCCTTTTTTCTCTTACATTGGCATTTAGAACAACGCGCTTGTGCCGTGTTGGATGTAGTTTTAAAAAGTTGTTATAGTCATATTTTTTCATGCTATTATTTCTGTATGTAAAAGTAATATTCTTTTTTGAAAATGACCAATTTTTCAAACATTTTCTAATATGGATATTCACTTCTTTATATAATTGTTGACACCGTGTCGCGAAGTCGAACATTTTCTAACAATGATATTCACTTCTTTATGTCATTGTTCGCTAAGTCGAATTTTTTCTAACATGGATATTCACTTCTTTGTATAATTGCTGACCCCGTGTCGCTAAGTCGAAAGCTTTCTAACATTATTATTCACTTCTTTATGTCGTTGTTGGCCCCGTGTCGCTAAGTCGAAAATTTTCTAACATTGATATTCACTTCTTTATATCGTTGTTCGCTAAGTCGATCGTTTACTAACATGGATATTAACTTCTTTATATAATTATTGACCCCGTGTCGCTAAGTCGAAAATTTTCTTACATGGATATTCCATTCTTTATATAATTGTTGACCCCGTGGCGCTAAGTCGAAATCTTTCTAACATAGATATTCACGTCTTTATAAAATTGTTGACCCCGTGTCGCTAAGTAGAAAATTTTCTAACATTAATATTCACTTCTTTATGTTATTGTTCGCTATGTCGAAAATTTTCTAACATGGATATTTATGTCTTTATACAATTGTTGATCCCGTGTCGCTAAGTCGAAAATTTTCTAACATTGATATTCACTAAATTAAGTAAAAACGCGGGTTAATCACGTGAATATACTGAGAAAAGCTCTACTAGTTTCGAACCACAGAGGGGTTCTTCCTCATGAGCAGCGTGCGCGGTCGCGGCGACGTCGCGCAGCTCACTGATATTCACTTCTTTATATCGTTGTTCGCTAAGTCGATCGTTTTCTAACATGGATATTCACTTCTTTATATAATTATTGACCCCGTGTCGTTAAGTCAAAAGTTTTCTAACATTAATATTCACTTCTTTATATTATTGTTCGCTAAGTCGAAAATTTTCTAACATGGATATTAACTTCTTTATAAAATTGTTGACCCCGTGGCGCTAAGTCAAAATCTTTCTAACAATGATATTCACTTCTTTATGTCATTGTTCGCTAAGTCGACAATTTTCTAACATAGATATTAACTTCTTTATATCATTGCTGGCGCCGTGTCGCTAAGTCAAAAATTTGTTTATTAAACTATCAACCCTATACTTTTTTAATAAAGATTACTTCTGACTAAACGACCAATTTCTGTCATTAAGACCGCATACATAATTTGTTTCGACTTTCAGCCTAGTACAAGCCAAATGCCATCTAAGTGACAGTCGTTCGAGCGATTAAGAACTCAATGGTTGACTTGTTTCCTATTCTACCGGTAGATAGTGTCTTTAAATGCTAAATTGCCTTATGGCACTAAATAAGAAGTTCAGTATTGACTATAGAAGAAGTCGCTGTTTAAACTTACCATAAAATAACATCAAAGGAGTTTGGATACTTAAGTTAAAGTTTATGACAAGTTATAATATCCAATTATCAGATACCGGTAAACCTTTTAGCTCTTCTATAACGTGCATAGATTAGAAATAGCTGCCTCAGTATTCTACAAACGGCATAATATTGTAAATAACTTCCCAATTCTTCTTCAAATCGTAACACAGAAGTGAGTTTTACAAAGAATTTGAAACATCAAGAGGAAACATCTACTAAGTGCACCATGGCTAAGACAATATAAATTATCAAGTACAAGTACCTACTAGTACCATATACCTAAGTGCAAACATTATTGTGAAGGTAGTTTCTAAGGAAATACAAAACTGTGTTACAATTAGCTAATACTTTGGTATCTATACCGACATACTAATGTATGACACACTGGTATAACGAGGGAGAGGGAATTTGTTTCCTTCCAAAGAACCAACCAATGTTTTCACTAAGTAGGTACTAGTATAACACTCTGATAGTAATTAATTCATGAAGAACGAGTAGTATCAAAACTATCATTTAGAGAAAAAATACTTTAAACTCCCTTTGACCAGTTCATCAGATGGCTGCGTCACTATTCAAATTGTGATCTCTGCAAGATGCTGTCCGATGGAGGAAATCCTTACGTAGATTTCAAGTTACACATAAAATACATAATATTTATGTAGTAATGTACACAATGACATGCAACATGCGCATGTTCATTCCATCAGAAACAAAAAGAAGCGTTTGCGTTAGGAATAAATGAAAACTGGACAAATTCCCCTCCCGCGTCGTCATGAGGTGACCAATCGGAACTCCTGGGACCTGTTTACCTACCGTCGCGGCGCTGTAGTACTTCGAAAAGTACTACGTTGCTGTCGAAGTCGCTCTCCTCGCTCGCGGGCCAGGTCTGGTCTTCTAGAAGAGGTTTATCATGCTCGCCTGATATCTTGAGTGGCCTCCGGATGGTATTAAAGTCCGCGTCGACGGCTTGGATGGTGCCCGTCACGGACTTTATGAAGATGACCTTGTGCACAATGTGGCCGCAGATGCCCAGGAGACAGACCGCCAGCCCCACCACGTTGATCGGAGACAGGACGTCACCGCTTACCTCCACCGCGAGCACCAGGATGCACATTTCCTGGAATGGTTTAATTCATAGCTGAATGTATAATGAATCCTTACTAATATTATAAATCGGAAAGTGAGTTGGTTTGTTTGTTTGTTCCACTATCACGCCATAACTACTAAACCGATTGCTTTGAATTTTTACAGGCGTAAAGTTAGAAGTCCGAATTAAATAATAGGGTACTTTTTATCCCGGAATAATTTGGTATTCTCGAGGGAAAACGAAATTATTGGTATAGATGGCGCTGTGTGTATTGGTATATGTCACATGGGCTACTTTTTATCCTTTTGTGACGCGAGCGAAGCCGCTGGTAAAAGCTAGTATTTAATAATTCGCCTCATTGTCCAGTGATCGCAAGTTCAGATGAACTTAGCAGATGCTGAAGGAGGAAAAATATTAAGGTCCAGTTTCACCATCCCCTGTTAAATATTTAAAGTATTGTTAAGTCAGTTAACGGGCTGTTAAAGTTATCGAGTGTCCCACCACGAGTTAACGCGCTTTTATTTGTCATAACAAGCTGTTAAATTTAATCACCGCTCTAGACGTCCGTTAGACCGTAACAGACAATTAAAATCGAGATGGAGGCTGCATACAATTTCATATTCGAAAATAATATTTTAGATTATTTAGATTACTTAGACACAATAGTACGACGTCCAAGAATTTTTAAAGAACGGCGTTCTTATTTCGACGGATACGACGATGTAGATTTTTGTACCAGATTCCGTTTATCTAAAGAAACAACCTTTTTTTTTTTAATGGGGGAAATCATCGAATGACTGCTCCCACCTGGGTGAGGCGGAAGGGAGTGTCAGACTCTTACTGACTAAAAACCACCCCGTTCCTTCTCCTGCACGTCGAGCCGGAGCCCCGGTTACCCGTTAGGTTCTCCGCGACTCCGAATCGGCATCGGCCCTATTGGGCCCTATCTGTGGTGGTCTGATGGCTCTTTGAGGCGCGCGTGGAACGCGACGCGCCGTACGCTTGGGTCTGTTTCTGGTCGGACGGGGAGCCACCCGTGCTCGCCGTCCGCAGGCCCGCGCTTACGGTGGCCGGAGATCGTCCCGCGATCCCCGACGCCCGGTGTGTCCTTCGCGATGGCTGGGTTGCGAGGAGGCAGCGCCTCGCTGCCTCACGCGTCCCGCCTCCTCCTTAGCTAGCATTACTGCTTCGCAAAAGGAGGAGACGGCATCCCAGTCCCCCTCGCTCCGCATCATGGCCTGCACTAGGCCCGGACGCGAGAGGTCGCCATCGCCGATCACTTCCCTGAGGGCCTTATCTTTACCCTTATGTTTATAAGGGACCCCTTATCCTTACTTTGTTTCAGGAATGAATCAATTTCTCCCATTAATCAAATTCTTTTGACCTTGAGGTATTATGCAACTGGCTCTCAACAAATAACAGTGGGAGATTATTGTGGGATAAGTAAGTCGTCATCTCATAGAATAATACACAGGGTCACTGCTGCAATAGCCTCCCTTAGCCCCAAATTTATCCAATTCCCTAATACTGAGGAAGAAATAAGAAAAACTCAGTGAGTTTTTAAATTTGAAATTGAAATTGAACTTGTTTGAAATTGGTCGCGTAGCACAACTAATGACGTATTATACGACTAGATAAAATATTACCGAACTCGGTCTAAATAACATGTCACAAAAAACCATTTCCATTTGGTTGCTTAAAATAAGAGTGAACAACTTACAAGTCGTTCAGTTAAATATACAGTTTAATAACGGCTTGTTACTTTTTTCTCGTGGGACATACAATGATATAACAGCCCGTTAATTATTAACAACTCATTAGTTAATGACTAATTAGGATTTAACAAACACAGTTTGGTGAAACTGGACCTTAGCCTTCTTGGGTAAAACATTAAGATTTCGACCATTCCTTAGTAACAATGCATCTAGAATAATGCCAGATGTGTATAGCAATAACCGCTGATGAAAAGTGTAAGCATCCCTCTTTAAGGATTTAAAGGTGCATTGCGTTATGTTATGCAAAACATGTTTTAACGGATCTTTAGTTCTGAATTGTGTGGAGTTCGTTTGAGGTCTCCCACTATGTACAGATATTTGTGTTTTTAAATGCATAGCTATGAACATATGAGTAAACACAATTGTATTTTTTTATTTTGAGGCGACTGATCAGTTTTTATATGTTTGAGGGATCTCTATATAAAATTCACTTGGTATCATGTAAGTCGTTGTAATCAAGCAGTTTTCTTTAGGTAGTCTTATGTTACCCGCGACCTTTTTTATTCGACTGTCACACTTGCGACCACTAACAAGACAGACAAAATGTTATGTAAGCTGTAAATCTGTAAATAAATACTTATAAGATCAAAATAATTTCTTAAGTGATCCAAATCGTAATTTCGGAAATAATGTTTGATCAATGCTTTAATGAGGTTATCGAAGCCACAACCCTCCCCCACTCATTCCCAGTCCCTTAAATCTGGAATCCCTAGCCCAACACTTATAAATGTAACAACTCCTCTGTTGTTGTGGACCACGATGGGCGGCGCTGATTTGCTTACCATTAGGTAAACTTACTCAACTTCACAAAATCAGTGAGTGTTGATAAAAAACGTTGATAATATCGTGGTGGCCCGGAGGTTTAAGACACTGGATTCTCATGCATGAGAATGCGGGTTCGAAACCTACCAACGGCAACGACTTTTTCCGAGTTATATGTACTTTCTAAGATTATTTAGACACCACTGACAAACGGTGAAGGAAAACATCGTGAGGAAACCTGGGCTTAAAATTTCTAATTATAAGTTTGTAATCGCCAACCTGCATTGAGCAAGCGTGATGGTTAATGCTCAAACCTTCTCCGTGTGAGAAGAGGCTTTGCTCAGCAGTGGGCATTTGTAGGCTGTTGATGATGATAAAAAAGCCATCAATATTTACCTTGAATATTCCAGAGATAGACAACGTGAGACTAGATGTGTAGGTGACGACTAAAAATTCGCTGATCTCCATAGCGAACGCGATCGTGGCTCCGACAGATACCTTCAGAAACGTGGGCAGCAGCTTCTCCGACGACAGCTTCTGAAGGTAATCGTAGCACGAATAACCTGGAATTTTACAAGTGATTTTTGTACCCATAGTATATGCTTAAGCTTTCAGGAGTCTACTGCACCCCATCATAGAGTTTACCTAAAAATGTTGGCAAAGGTACACTACCCTCATTAAACTACATAATGTTGTCGAATTAACTCGTCGAGTACGTATTTATAGTCACAATCAATAGGTTGCGGTCACCGGTGACCGCTCGGTGTTTGACAGTTTAATGACGTAAAAAGGGACTTATGAATCATTCGATTCAGACAAATTCTTTACTGTGACGTCACCTTGCAAAACATTCGTTGAATCAATTATGAAAGTGTGATTGATTCGAACACTTGAGTCTTCGAAACTTGTGAGTGTGATGCGATACTTATTCTATCTTTGATAGTCATTAAAATATGCAAGGATGGCTGGCATAAGAAAAATAGGGCTTTATCTGCAAACTTCGTGTCGCGTTGGCATCACGCTAACTACTGCAGTTAATAAAGCAATTATAATATCGTATGTACGCTGGAGCTAGGCTACTTGTTATCTAACTACCAAGCGAAGTAGGGGCGCAAGTTAGTACTTCTAAAGACGGTTGTTAAACTAAAAAAAAACGAAGTTTATAGTCCAGTGATACACGTGGCAAATTACGTAGCTGACACTGAGGTAAAAATAAATGGTCGAACATAAATAAAGTGCAGGGGATAAAAGAAAACATGATGTAAATATAGGTAACGTAATATGACAGTCTTATTATTAACGTTGCCACCTACATAATAATTTGTAAATTGCACATGCGAGATATTCTATACATAGGTAAGGTGTAAGAGCTCAACCACACGGATAGACATGAGAGACCTTCAGTTATTTCCATTATAGTTGTTGATTAACTGCCAATGTCAAATAATTGTATTCATAAGATTTTAAGTTAAGTTTAGAGCCAAGTGTAGTCCGCGACCCAAATCGCATCTTGTGATATCTCGACCTGTATTCTATAGAAACTGCAATCAAGGCATACATGCAACGAGCTGAGCCAACGGCACCCTATTACACGTTAACTACGTTTTCAAACTACCTGTAACCTATATGTAGTTTAGAAAGAAATATACACAAACTGGTTGTCATTATTGAACACGGTTTTCTAAATCACCAAAGTGTGGGAAAAGAAACGAAGCTCGACCGGGGTGATACCACGGCCTCACAGAAAACCGATATGAAACAACAATTGCGTTGTCTCGTGTGAGTTAGGTTACCGGCCCATTACACCCCCTCCCCATCTCCCCAATCCACGAATTCCCTATAATCCTCAAATTTTTAATACCCGAATGACTGGTAACGCACTTTAATATCTCTGGAGTTTCGGGTGCCCAGGCGAAAAAACTAGCTTAGCACAAAGCCATCAACAGAATTCTACAACTTAGACAAGTTCTACAACGTTAACTTTTTACTAAAAAGGTACTTATTAGAACTTCACTACATTGCGAAGTACCTATATGTGGGTGGTTTTAAAAAAGTATTGTTCTAGAAAAAAACACATACTTACGTTTAACTATCGCGAATTTATCATCATAATAACCGATGTATCGAGATGCAAATTTGCAAAATAACAAACTTTGAATTTGCGACGTTAACCACGTTTTAATACTAGCAACAAAATTGACGATGTACAAATCAAATACTGATGAAATCGTAAATGACGTGTCACAAAACCAACCCTACCAGGTACCTTGAATAAAAAACACCCTGCTTTTACACATAACCGTCTTAGTATAATTATATTGTCGCGGAGAACTTAAAGGGTAACCGGGACTCCGGCTCGACGTGTATGAGAAGGAACGGGATGGTTTTTAATCAGTAAGAGTCCGACACTCCCTCCCCGCCCCACCCAGGCGGGAGTCAGCAGTCATTCCATGATTTTCCCCCCTTAAAAAAAAGTATATGTTTATTGGCACATACCTTGACTGAATTTGGATCCTGGCTCCACGAATAGTTTATAAATATCATATTATACTAAGTACCACTTATTAATCTAGAATACTTTACTTCGTGCCGGTCGTTTATAAAATGCCTCGACAGAATATTCACGCTCTTTTTATATGCTACGAGATGTAAGTGTAACACTTGAGATGACGGTATTGTATAATTTACGAACACCCTACACTTTCATTATATGTACGCTAAATGATAATTAAAATCTCCATACAACCTAGACATCCTTACTAATATTATAAATCGGAAAGTGAGTTTGTTTGTTTGTTTTTTTTGTTCCGCTTTCACACCGTAACTACTAAACCGATTGCTTTGAAATTTTGCAGGCGTAAAGTTAGAAGTCTGGATTAAATAATAGGGTACTTTTTATATCGGAAAAATTTGATATTCTCGAGGGAAAATGAAATTATTGGTATTGTTATATGCCACATAGGCTACTTTTTATCCTTTTGTGACGCGAGCGAAGCCGCGGGTAAAAGCTAGTTTGATATAACTATATCACACTATTACAAATTTGAAAGTTTCTTCGTTAAGATGTTTGTCCATCAATCACGCTGAAACAACTGAACGGATCTTGATGATATTTGGTAAACAGGCCGGCTGATTTAGGTGAAAGGTTTGGACTTTTTATACGGACTAAATACTCCAATGGGATAAAATAGGAATTGTATTCTACGCGGACGAATACGCGGTTTTAAAATAAGGCTGTTGTTAGTGTTAGTGGGTGCCTATATAAAAAGTGAATGTACAATTCGAGTTTCATGTTTGTAGCATTGATTATAGTTTGCGCTCGGCGATTATAAATCAGTAACTCAGTAAAGATCTGTTATTATAACATAACATCACGCCTCTTATCCCCGAAGGGGTAGGCAGAGGTGCACATTATGCCACTGTACAATGTAACACCCACTTTTCACTATTTATGTTACGAGTCCCATGTAATAGGGGGTGAGTCTATTGCCATATACCGGGCACAATTCCAGAATCCGTGCTACTACTGAGAATTTAAAAAAAACCAGTAATACTTTGCCCGACCTGGGAATCGAACCCGAGACCCGACCGTCGCACTTGCGACCACTTGGCCAACGAGGCAGTTTGGCATCTGTTATTCTACAGGTATAGATATTAGAGATCCCTATTAACCACTACCTCAGAGACTACCTAAGTACCTATTACTTGGATTAACCACATTACTTCGCGGTAATTGGGAGCATCGTACTTGGCAAGCTAAACATAAACAAGTAAATATCGAAAACTCGAAACACAAACACGGTAATGGCCAAACGGTAAACATTCTCAGTATTAATGAAAGATGAAGTCGTATTAGACCACATTTTCTAAGCTTGCAGGTAAACAAGTAAAACCGAATGTGCATTACATTTAAAATATGCATTCTGTCAATATGTAAATATTAAATAGGTACATTTTCTCTTTTCCTTTGACAAAATCCAATATGACGTGCATTGAGTTCGTTTGAGCGCACCAAAGGTACTACACCTACCGATATTATGTTCCCACCGGTCTGTCTAATATCTAGCAGAAGGATTTACGTACTACCTAGCAGTATGCTAATCCTACAATATAAATAAATGCAAAGGTTTTTGGGGATGCAGCAATGGCGGATTAATCAAGGGACGGCTTGTTGTTATAAGCGCCGTTCGTGCCGTGTACATCTCAACTTGTAATTTACAAATTAAAACCTATTTTTGTTATCAATGTATTATTACTTTAGTCATTCTATAAGAATGGACTTTCCCTTCTTATAAGCGAGTAAAAATTGCTATACAATATAAGTAGTGTATCACAAACACGGCGCTAGGGAGGAGCGTCAGCAAGCAGTGTAGGGTAGGAGCGATTATCAAGCACGACTACACTGATCCTTTTCCGATGAAATTTGATAAATACATGCAAAGCCTCTATGCAGGCAGGTGTATATACAAAACTATATTCATATTGCTACAAAGAGAGGATCTCGGTACATAATATCTAGGGTTTTAGGTTCGATTTTATACGAGGATCGGCTTTGTCAGAAACGCGATATTCGAAATCCGCAGCAGAGAATTTGAAACTATTGCACGGTGTTTTGGGCTGAGTTCGGGCCAGTTTCCATGGCTTGATATTTCGTTACTGAGTGAACTGAGTGTTCTTAAAAGGCTATTATTTTTAGTGTGACGTAAAAACTACTTTAATAAATCCACTCAGATTCGAGACTTCATTACAGTCTTTGAGTTGACTACTGCACGGTGCATGCATGGCGGTGGCACCGCCAGACGTTTTCCTTTGTCAATGTCGAGTACAAACTGTCAGCCGACATTGAGTACCTACATACCTATGATTCCTATATTGTATCATCGATTTCACCATATTTAGTCACGATACTTATAATATATGGTGTTAATAGATTTTTCAGTATCCTTGCAATAAAATCTGTCGGTGCCTTAGGTCAGTCGTAACCGGTGGCGTTTTAACATTTCTTTTCCTTTACTATGCATGTCATCTAATCAAAAACCTTCTCAATATATACATAGAATAGATATAATTGAAACACTAGAACGCCTACTCCATATGCGCAAACAACACGCGTCACCACGCAAACTGTTGAAAGGCGGTGTATAAATTATGTGGATTATGTAAATTGCTGTAGTCCACCATGTGTGTTCTGAATGGCTCGACATGGGTAATGAAGTAAACGCTTGTCAGACGTCATTGGGCATAAATGGACGTAAACAACGTAAGATGCCATCACATGTTTGTTTCAAGTTGAGCAGCTTATATTATGTCACACCAGTGAAGTGAACTAGTGATTCCGGTGTTCCTTACAGGTGTTGAAGGTGGCAAACGGCTCTAGTGAAGTACAAATCCCTATAGTCTCTTAGTCCCAAAAAATCTAGGCGCCCCGGCCCGCCACGGCCACATCCCGAGCCCAAGCACAGTCCGCTCTAATGAGAATCATCTTTGCAACTATTCCACCGACGCGACATGGTGGGCTTCCGTTAAATTAAAAAACGTAATTTTCAAATCGAATCCAATCTCAACGGTTCTTTTTAGGGGAGTTATATTTTGTACAAGTATTTAAGTACCTACATATTTATGCGTAAGATATTGCAATTTCAGATTCCAGCTGTTCCAGTGTGTGGGTGAAACTGTAATATTGTATTTTATAGAAAATCAACTGAATGTTGTATAATAGTTTTCTAGTTCTTCCCCGAAGTATTTCAAACAACAAACAATTTCAGATTTTTAACTACCAAAACTTTTGAAATGATTGTGTCCAGGAATAACGCCCATATATGAATAACCCCATTTATCCCCAAGATTGGGATAGATTTATACAAAATTTTAAAACATACAATAATACGCCGAACTCATGTTTTAAAATTATACTTGGAAAAAACATTCTTCTGTGAAACTGAATATGAATAAAATAAAATAATATTCCGCTCAATCCGGATTAAAACGCATGGGCGCACCGTACGTGTGTAAATAAACCTAGTACCGACTACGAATGAATATTAATCATGTTTTCTGCAGCACTCTGATCTGAATATTGGAAAATATAAGATTTTCAACGTAAAGTTTAATAAGCTGTAAGCTCACTAGATGGCAGTAGTAGTTGAAAGTCATCAGTCTAAACTAAAATATTGCATTTTGACCTTTTCTTACCTACTTAGTATTTTTATATTCAGTGTCTACTATATTGTTGTTGAATTAATAAAATTACGTAACACTTAAATGCAATCCTGTCGAACAAAAACTTAATAAAAAATCTATTAGCAACTTACCTGTTTCAAACCAAATTCCACATTGAGAGAGCAGCTTTAGACAGCTTTAAAGGAAATTAAAAAGTTGTTCGGTACCTCGGTAGCTTAGCTTTGACGTTCTGTTCGACATTCAAATTATTCAGCCCTGCAAGTTGGACGGTAAACAACAAAGTAGGCGAGCGTGGCTAGGACCTTATCTTTAAGGAGTTTATTCAACAGATGCAACTTTCATACCTTCTGACTCTGTACATGAAAAACTAAAAGGCTAAGATGAAGACGTCTACTTATTTATGTAGATGCGTAACTACTTTGACATACGTAAATGCCCCATGTTACGCCTGCAACGGTCTGTCTCCCATTGGGATAGACATAATAGAGTTGGTCCCAAATTAAAACTTATTTTCTTTAGGAGAAAATGAGGGGTATCAATACTGATGGTATGTGTATCCATTGTCATACCTGGGGGCTTACTCTTGAATCCAATTCCGATCGATCGACATTGGTATTGTGAAATTTCGTACTCTTGAGTTGCAACACTAGCGCCCATTGCATCCGTAATGCGTGAATGTTTAAGAAACTAAAGGTATTGGAGTTTAACTTTATATTCCGTACTCTGAATGCTATTTTAGGCTACAATAGGGGCAAACAGCTACGATAGCGGGATATAGTTTTGACATTGAATAATTATTGAGATTTTATTGGATTGAAATTGCATTGACATTGAAATTGGTTTCAAGAGTAAGCAGATATTGGAACGGCAAACTAATTATTAGCTACCTACTTCTAGCTCAGATTTCTGTGTCAGCATTTGAATGATGAGTTCCTAAGGATTATAGTTTCATTTAATGATTGGTCTGTTGTTTTAATGAAACCTACCGAGGCTTTCTACAATAAAAATAAATAAACAGACACCTTACCTTCGAACATGATGGTGAAAGGCAGCAGCGAGACGAACATCCAGGGCTGAACGTGGAAAACCATGTCGACGGGGTTGTGTAGACCGAGCTTTGACTTCTGCATCAGTAGCTGCGCGAACGTCCATCGGAGACCAGCCGCGAAGGACGCGATGAGCAGGAAATTGAAGCCAAGCAGGTTGAATTGCGTAGCCTTATACGTGAACATTATGAGGCCCGCTGAGATCATCAGCACTATGCCCACGAGAGACCACGACTGCAAAACAAATAAATAATTTAAGTCATTTTTTCCTATTACATATGTACTTACACTAAACTAGAGAATTTGTAAAATTACTACACGAAAAACCACTAACTAATAATAACAATAAATCAATATATTGGACTAAACAGACAAATAAAGTCTGCGCCCCGAGCGCACCCCGACATCGAGACGTTTAGGTAGTATAACTCGTTTTTTTTTTCGTTTTTTTAAAGAAACGTTGCCCCACACTATGATTATCTCCTGTGTCGTGGGTGCTTTTACAAACATACAAGTTCACATACACATGACCCGAAACAATAATTTGTGGATCACACAAAGTGTTGTTTCGTGCGGGAATCGAACCCGCGACACGTTGCATGGCAGCCGGTTGCCCAGCCACAGCACCAACCGTGCAGTCATAACTCGCATTTTGTTCGTTTGTATTAAGTTGCAATACTGTATGATATTATTACAGTGATCTCGCTTTATAGGTATAACCTTTCCGAACAATCCACTGTCAGTTTATACTGATATTGTATAACTTGATGTGTCATATGTACTTGCGATCATGCGATCAAAGCCGTGTAAATATTTAATACCCATTGTCGAAGTAGGTGCTTCATTTATAATGACTAACTGTCGCCTACCGGTCTGTTATTTTGTACCGTGACGTATATTTTGCTTATCAAATTCGATCTATTTTATAATGCATCTTCCTCAGTCTCAGTGCAGTTTTGGTGGTCCTATTTAAGGGATTTTAAAAATTGCTGAATCGCAGAGAAGTATGGAAATGGCGGTTTGGGAAATTCTTCATATTAGATAGGATATCTAGATATCCGATATATAGTACTTATAAAATATGTGAAGTTCCCTCCTCTTGCAAAGTACTCTCTGACTAGCACCCTCATGCATGAGAAGCGGGCGCTTCTCATGCATGAGGGTGCGGGTTCAAAACCTACCAAAGGCAAGTACCAATGTGACTTTTCCGAGTTATATGTACTTTCTGAGATTATTCAGACACCACTGACAAGCGGTGAAGGAAAACATCGTGAGGAAACCTGGGCTCATAATTTCTAATTATAATTTTGTAATCGCCAACCCGCATTGAGCAATCGTGGTGATTAATGCTCAAACCTTCTCCGTGTGAGAAGACGCTTTGCTCAGCAGTGGGCATTTATAGGCTGTTGATGTGATCTGTGTGACTAGAACTACTTATCTGGAGCAGTTTTTTAACATTTCAAGGAATAATGTCATCTCCGTATTTTGTATACGAACCGATGTCGTGTGAGTAGCACATGTCAGTCAAGGTCTTGCCTACACAGTCATGCGATGTTACCATAGATTAAAGTACTAGATAGTACATGGAACAACACGAACCACTAAGTACTTAATGACTGTATTAATTATTAAAACCGTGTTTTTATGTTTCGTTCGATATGGCAGAACTTTTATGGCGTTTGGAAACGTGAATGCGTTACATATAGATAGCTATAGTATAGTACACACACATCTGCATTACAAAAAAGAGGTTCATAGAAGTAGGAGTGCACAACATTTGTTTTTCGAGATGAGATTCAAACTTTTCTTAAATATTTTTATTTATTCTTTATAGGTCGACGTTTGTTTGACCACCATCTCGCCTAAGTAAGCGATGATGTGGCCGACGATGGAGCACGCCTACCTATGAGCAACCTGTTCACTCGGGACTTGAAGACACCCAAGTCATATTTGACCGGAAACATAGCCTCTGGCAAGGAATAATAATGATGTAATTATAAAACATTATCTGTAGGTACTTAGATTTTGATAATTATTAGGTAAGTATTAAACTGACTGCCTCGGGTCGTAAGTGCGACTACTGCCGGGCAAGGGGTCTCGGGATCGATTCCCGGGTCGGGCAAAGTATTACTGTATTTTTTTTAAATATTCTCAGTAGTAGCACGGAGTCTGGAATTGTGGCCGGTATATGGCAATAGGCTCACCCCCTATTACATGGGACTCCTAACATAAATTGTGAAATGTGGGTGTTACAGTACAGTGGTATAATGTGCACCTCTGCCTACTCCTTCGGGGATAAAAGGCATGATGTTATGTTATGATGTATTGGTAAATGAAATAGATTTTTCTTAAATCTATATAACTTTAATTACAAACAATAAAAAAAAATGTTGTATCAACAAGACTCTTACGTACTAATCACATAAATACATTAAACATAACAAAAAAGAAAATAAATTTAAATTCATCGAAATATAATTAAATAGATTATGCAGAAAAATGCTATGCCTGCTAGTAATTTGGTAGGTCTGTCTGTCCGGAATGTTTTTCGGGAGGGTTGAAATTTGCGATGCGAATTTGCAGATTTATTACAAGCACTAGCTTTACCCCCGGCTTCGCTCGCGTCACAAAAGGATAAAAAGTAGCCTATGTGACATATACCAACACACACAGCGCCATCTATACCAACACTTTTGTTTTCCCTCGGGAATATCACATTTTTCCGGGATAAAAAATACCCTATTATTTAATCCGAACTTCTAACTTTACGTCTTTAAAAATTCAAAGCAATCGGTTTAGTAGTTACGGCGTGAAAGTGGAACAAACAAACAAACAAATAAACTCACTTTTCGATTTATAATATTAGTAAGGATTTTCGTTTACGGTATTGATGATAGTACTGATAACGGCTATGACAGTGCACAAGACTGGAGAATGTGTGTATTACAATCATAATTTTTTTTTAAATCAGTCCGAGTACATATTTACTATGACTAGTAAGAAATATTGTGCTGTTTTTGGTTGTATTTTTTGCAAATATTTTTCGGTCGTAAATTTATAACATACCTAGTATTTTATTTGTGTATAGAAAAAAAGGATATTTACAATCATAAAACGAAACAGAAACGGAAAGTAGGCAATTTTAATTAAAATGATGGAGACGGGCAGCCCTAACGCATGTTTACGTATGTCATGCGGCAGAGTTGCAATCATCATCATCAACAGCCTATAAATGCCCACTGCTGAGCAAAGCCTGTTCTCACACGGAGAAGGATAGACCATTAATCACCACGCTTGCTCAATGCGGGTTGGCGATTTCAAACTTATAATTAGAAATTATAAGCCGAGGTTTCCTCACGATGTTTTTCCTTCACCGTTTGTCAGTGGTGTCTAAATAATCTTAGAAAGTACATATAACTCGGAAAAAGTCACATTGGTACTTGCCGTTGGTAGGTTTCGAACCAGCTCCCTCATGCATGAGAAGCAGGCGTCTTCAACCTCCGGGCCACCACGACACCACTATATTTAATATGACGAGTAAGAAATATTGTGCTGTTTTTGGTTGTATTTTTTGCAAATATTTTTCGGTCGTAAATAACATAGTATTTTATTTGTTTAAGTACATAATGAAGGATATTTACAATCACAAAACGAAATAGAAACATAAAGTAGGCAAATGTAATCAAAATGCTGGAGACGGGCAGCCCTAACGCATGTTTACGTATGTCATGCGGCAGAGTTGCAATCATCATCATCATCATCAGCCTATAAATGCCCACTGCTGAGCAAAGCCTCTTTTCACACGGAGAAGGATAGATCATTAATCACCACGCTTGCTCAATGCGGGTTGGCGATTTCAAACTTATAATTAGAAATTATAAGCCGAGGTTTCCTCACGATGTTTTTCCTTCACCGTTTGTCAGTGGTGTCTAAATAATCTTAGAAAGTACATACTATAACTCAGAAAAAGTCACATTGGTACTTGCCGTTGGTAGGTTTCGAACCAGCACCCTCATGCATGAGAAGCAGGCGTCTTAAACCTCCGAGCCAGAGTTGCAATACTGTATGATATTATTACCGTGGCGGAGATCAAGATAAACTGGTTAAGCATAGGTCAATATGCCGTGTTCAGTATACCAGTAGCAAACATAACTATGTGTAGGTATTATATGTGCGTATATAGTTATTAATTATTATAGACGTTGATTGTATTTTGATTTTGTGTCCATTGTGTTGTAATAAGCGAAGCCCCCGTGACAATGGGAATTATAATTGAGAATTAACTAATTGATTGCTTTGTTGCTCATGATTATAACCGTAAACGTAGAGTTGTATATAAATTATATAGTAGCATACAGCAATATCCAATTATACATCATGGGCCTTAGGTTTAAATTTATCGAGTAAGCTCCAACGAACCAACCGTTTCTATTATTTTAAACGTAAAACGAACTCGTACTAGACGCCTCTGATTGGTTGGTTAATCGGAGCCAGCCAATCAGAGCGCCGAATGCATACTCATTACGATTACTTTAAACGTAAAATGAAACACGCTTGTATTAGGCCCTCAGAAGTACGTAAAGAAAAATGACAAAATATCGAGTTCTTATGATTTTTTAAAAGGTTCCAGTAACATTATTGATTCTGTGCCGACACGTAGTTATTTGTTGTTCACTTAGGCATAACGTTGTCCCATTAATTTATAAAAGCAACACTGATACACCACGATATTACATTCGTTACAAATAATCTACGGTACAACTACGGTTTAACGAAACGAAACATAGATGGCGCTCCACGACTAAAATTGAGACGTCGACTCAATTTACGTACCAAACAATGTGTGTTTAACTACTCTAATACTTCAGGGAAACACCAGTTGTAGTATTTTATGCAAAAAATGACTCTTTTTTTACATAACTATATGTAAATAGAAATGTTAACTACAAATAATTACTATTTGTTTAGTAAGTGAGTAAGTGACATTTGCCATACACAGGACGTTAGAACACCGTTTGCTCTATAGATGGCACTGACTGAACCGAAATCCTGCACCAAATACAAAATTGGCTACTTTCGAGCATAGTTCAAGTATAATAGAAAATTTTTCGAAAGCCAAATTTTACCATATTATCCTACGATCAGGAAATACAACTTCAGTCCTTAATCAGCAGTCGTGATTGCGATGTCTCAAGCTGTACTAGTGAGGCAGTTAGTAACTTCATTCAAATTAA